AATACTTATAAGTATTAATACTAAAAAATCTTTAGAATAATTATAATTCTCTTTATCTTTATAAATAATTCAGTTTTAATTTTCAAAACTTATTATAAACTATATTCTTAATAAAATTTACCTTTACAAATATAGTTTATAATATTATTAAGAGAGTATTTTTATTAAAAGTTAAATTTATTAAAATATATTATAAAAAAATAATTAATTATTTTTATTCTATAAGTTAAAAATTAATAATTATTATAAATATAATCATTATTATTATTTTAAAATACTTATATATATATATATATATATATATATAAACTTAAAATAATAATAATATTAAATTTTAATTACTAAAAAAATAAAAATTTATATTTTATATATAATAATTATAATAGTTAATAAAAAATAAGTATTTAAATAAAATAATAATATATAAATAAAGTAAAATAAAATAAAATTTCAAATATTGAATGAATTTTAATTATTTAATTACAAATAATAAAATAAATAGAGTAAATATTAAAATTTTAATTAATCAAAAGAATAAAATTCATATCTTATATGTAATAATTGATAAAAAAATAAGTATTTAAATAAAAAATACCAATATATACACAAAGCAAAATAAAGTTATTATATAATCAAAATATTTTTTATATCATAAAGATATAGATATAATCATAAGTCAATATAATAAGTAAGATTAAAGATAGCTTCTTAACTAGTTGCAGCTTGTGATAGCCAATCAGAGAATTGTGATAGAGTTATAGCAGCCAATCAGAGAATTATGACAGAGTTATGACTAGTTGCAGCTCTTATCACTAAGTGAGACATTCACTATCTTACATAAAAAAATGTCTAAAAGACCAAAAAAAAAATAAAAATATTATTATAACATATAGGATTAAATTAGAAATCTTATTTGTATTTATAAATATGAATACCAGCACAAATAAATATAATGAGTGAGATATTCACTATCTTTTATAAGAAGAGATACCTAATTAAAAGGCCAAAGAAAAATAAAACAGAGATTAACATGGATGAAGTGATATAATCAATGCAGTGCTGTAATGTGTAGGAATAGTATCTGACTTCAGCCTAGCTGAGTGATTTCTGAGTGATAAGAAATTGCCACTTGATAAGGCTTGAGTGTTTCTAATCAGATGGTTTGGTATGTGTAATGGAAGGAACAACAAAATCAGGATGGATTCTATGGACTTACTATGATGGTGATTGCATTATATTACATATACACATCCCAATGACATTTAACAAAAATCATATATAAATGTAAGTCAGCAACAAAATCAAAGGGCATTAACTTGCTATTCAGCTCATCATCAATAATATATGCAAGTCAACAAAACTCAAAGAACATTAATTGTCAAAAACATCAATCATTGCATTTTTCATAAATACACAAAATTCAAATTTTTGACTTGCATCAGATAAATTAGAAGACTGTGTAATTATAATTTTAATTGTAATATTATTTGTAATATTTAAATTTATTTAATAAAAAAAAAATAACGTATGGTTTGTATGTCCTTTAGGATGGAGGTTCGGTTCCTCCCAGATAATTTCTTTCAGGTTCCCGTATGGCTAGCCTCTTCTGAGGTGAAGGTTCAGTTCCTTCCGGGATCAATTACAGGCTATGTCAATAAGTATTACAAATATAACAAAATTAACAATTCTACTATTATCAATAAGTCTAAATACACGGACACTACTGATATTTAATAATTGCCTTCCGTGATCAGTTGCTGGCTGGTTATATCAGTGTAGCAGCCAGCATTTTGTGATCAAACGATCAAAATACAGTACATGTTCATAAATTTCTCAATTCATTTTTTTTTACATCACATGCACTAATTTAACATGCTGGTCCTTATTACCATCGAATATTTACTTTATGACCCCCGGACAACAAGAGTACATAATGTTTAATGAACCGCACGTTCCATGAATTTCAAGATGTGAGGTGAGACGTGTGACGATATAACATTCTCCTTGAAACAAACTTATTCGACAAAAGAAACTTTCTTTTACTTCTTGAATATGATTTCTTATATCACGATCCCTTTTTAACGAAAAAACGTTATCCGATTTTATAATTTCTCGATAGAGCTTTAGCTGTTATAAGTTTACGAACTACGATCAATTGAGAGATGACGAGAAAAGGGACGTGCATGCAGCGAAAAAGTAGTTGGGAAGAACATTGCTTCCTTCAACTTTATTTTAGTCTTGCGCAGAAAAGTGAATAGATAAGAAAATTTATGCATACGCGGAAAGTAAGATTAATATAACTCTTTTCCGAAACCCCATACATATAATTTCATGCTACTATTTAAAATATATACATAACACGCCTCTTATACAAACTGGGAGAATAAGAAAAATCTATATTTTTAGTCAATAATTACACTTAAACAAACAAAGCATTTAAATTAATTAAACGGGTCAGAATCTTTATTGGAAAATGAACAACAAATTAGTATTTAGTATTTATTATACTGTTGTCTTATATTACACGTATATCAAAGAATGAAAAATTTCGCAAATGAAAAGGAAGATTGTAAATGATGTAAAAAAAAAAAAAATGCAAAGATGGATGATGGATGTATACAAATAAAAGTGTGAAATGAATAAATGCTATTATTTTGTACATTGCTATAATAATGATATCGATATGTATTTTTTTTTATGTTGTGATGTTGTGTGTATTATATATAAAAATTGTGTGTGTTATGTATGCTACATGTTGAAATGAAAAATTATTAGAGATAATTGTTCGTTTAATTGGATTCTCCAGAGCCGACGTCAAAAGAATCCATTCTTCGATATTCCTCAACAACATCATCAATTCCTCTTGCGATAAAAGTATCCGTCTCGACAATCACTGGCGATGTTAAATGTCTTTCGCGTGTTATCGAGGGGGGTGGGATTGTAATCGATGATTCTTGTGCATCATTATTTCCATTATCGATTACGATATTCACTTGATCGTCTTGTTCTTCTTGATCGTAAATTTCGACAATGGCATTTTGCATCTCGCGGTGATAACTTTCTGTTGATTGATATTGTGGAGCTTGTTCCTCTTCTAATTTAGTGTCTTGTTCGTCCTCCTTATCATTATCATTATTTTCGAATGTGGATGCGGTTATTGTTTTCGTGGAGGATAGACCATTGATTCGTAATTTTATGCCACTTGTTAAGTCGAATTTGGATTGTTCGGTCGGTGTTCGATGCATAAATAAGAAATTTGCGTTCTTCTTTTTTGGAGCTTGTACTCGAACTGCTTCTCTTTCCGAGATTTCGCTTGTTGTGAATGACGTGTATGATGTGTCGTCTGATGATTCAGAATTAGTTGCCAGGTATTTCTCATCTTTGTGAATGTGTGGTGCTCCAGCTGCTGCTGGTGTACCTTTCTTGGCGAATTCTGAAGAATTATAACTTAATGGACGTGTTGAGTTAGGTGATGAAGTGCTATAAATTGCAACATAATTTTGTGATTATTAGAGATTGATCGATGATTATTTAAAAAGAGAATAACCGAAAAAAAGAATACTTACAAGTTCTTCAATTTCCTCAAAGATCCATTCTTTTCAACATCATCTCCATTGTTACTAAAGCAGCAACCAAAAATTTTATCCAAGCCCAAAGCTTTAGCCCATTTCGCGTACTGTGCATTTGCCTCAGCGCCATTCCCGAAAAAGACAAACAGCGCGAACCCCGTCAACGGCTTGGAATATTCAAACAGCGTGAATGGCGTATCGCTTGTGGTTATGGTGTCGAAGCGTTCTTTGATCAGTTTGTAATTGTATGGTTTGAATTGAACGTTGCAGTTCAAGGCAAGCATGTAAACCGCCGCGGGTAACATCACTATTAGTAGCGTGACGCAAAAGAAAACCAAGCGGTAGAACTTTGATTCGTTGATTTGTTGGAATTGAAGTAGATCTTGCATTTCTAATCGCTTCTTTACAATCACGTATGCTGTCCTCACTATTTTTATTGTGTCATCACATCATAATTAGTGACATGTGTATACACATAAATGAAATATATAAGAACAGCTGAATGAATTTATCATTACCTGCATAAAAAGCACCAATTATCGAAAAAACCAATGGCCACATATAATTAACCAAAACAGATACGAAGGAGGGATAACTTGGTGCGAAACAGCCCAACATTAACCTAACGCTATACTTATGATTCTGAACAGTGATGTAAAAGATAATCTGAAATATGAATGGCAATATGATGCAAATCAAGAAACTCCTGATCGCTTGTCTCCTCTTCAGACCCTCGGTCAAAATAACTGGATGTATGACATACGTGGACAATGTATGAATCATACACACGATTGATAATATCAAACCATAACCCGACGCAATATACAACACGGTCATCACACGGCACCAGTATTCCGTGTATGGTTTGTCGTCTTCGATGGTGTTGGCCCAGATTATCGAGTTGACCGAATTTGTGAGGTTTGCGATTACCACCCAGAATGTCATGAATATCGCACCCCAGTTTCGGCTTTGTATGTGGATTGGGCTTGGAATCAGAGAAAAGATCACGGCGAGTATTGAAAAAAGTGTGTACACGTAGTCAGCCATCTTTTGCTTTTGCGTTTGATTAGGTCGTCGTCATATAATGATCTTATTATTTACAACGATTCGATGTACGTTTCAAAATGTACAAATCTAAAGTCTGCGAGTGTGTCCGATCGAGGATACTTTTACAAATGATGAGGGTGAAAAAAAAAAACGAAAAAAAAACTTCCAAATGCTACTCAAAAAGAGAATAAACTTTTATATTTTTGCTTGTTTTGTTCTTGAGTGCAAAAGTCGAATCAACGACAATGGTGTTTTATCTTTTATTTTATGTGGTAATTATGGCAATTATTGATTTATAATTATTTAACGGGAACAACGAAAAAGAACAACAAGAGAATAAATTAAAAAGTTGACAATGGTCGACAATGGACACACAAAACGTTCGATAATAATGAAGGAGGGATGGTTATGACGCGACGTTAAATTAGTTTGATCTTACTAATGAACGATATTTAAATAAATAAAAGAGTGTAGGAAGTAGGAGGCAGGCGGTAAACGCGGAACATTAAATATATACAATAGAATTTGGTTGCACAACAAAAAATTATTTTATTTATCTTATATACACATATTTTTAATTTTAATCGTGTATTTAGATGACAATGAACGTATGTAATATCAGATATAAAATAGAGTTTTAAAATGATTCAATAATAAAAAAAAAAAAAAAACTTATACAATGGCAGAGTAGATCGATGTATATTTAGCGCGTGTCACATTTCATCAAAAACCATAAGGTTACCCAATTTCGCTCATTATCATGTACGATATAAATGAATATGGAATAGATTTCCCTGAAAAAATCGCCGTTCTTTGCACTATTTGAAAAACAAAGAAAATTTCTGTGACTGGGTTCATACATTCACGACATGTCTTTTTTTGTTGCAAGGTTTCTTTATTAGTTAAGACAGTGATAGTAATTTGTTATTAGGATCTTTATATGTTAATTATTACTAATATTACTAATGTTATTTCTATCATTAGACGCACTACTAAATTAAAGATCGAATATTTTTGTTTTCCTCGTTTGTAAAATAGGCATCGTCTTTTTATTTATTTTCAACGACGAAGATTTAATTTTAATCAAACCATTATTAGAAAGAAAAAAATTGAGAAAATTTCGCTTCAAAAGTTTATCGTTTATTATTTTGCTTATTTGCACAACACAGATTCAATCGGTTTTTCTTCTCTTGCTTCTCTTGTTATTGTAACAAGATCAACACTATTTGCAATGAAGAATAAAGTGCAATCCAGAGTTTCTATAAGGAAAGATGGCGGTTGTTTTACTATTTTCCGTTCATATTGATAAATGTTTCCCCGCGCTAAAAAGCATCGAGTTATAATTTAATATTATCCTCTCGTATACACAGATTTTTTGATTAGATATATGGATATACGTTTATCAACGACCAGGATCAAACAAAAAAAAAACGAAATCCATGTTTCCTTTGTTTTTTTTGTTGCGACCCAAATAATTACAAAAATTAACAACCAAGAAATCAATACGCGCGTACGTGTACGCATATACACACGTACATAGAAACCCCAAGATGTCATACAACCATCGGCCATTTATTTTCTTTCTGTGCATTGATGGATTCCTAAAATGGCTCTAGATCAAATCCGGAAAGGAGAAAAAAATGTCCCTGCACTCCGTGCAGACGCACGCATCAACAATCCACGTGTACAGTTTTATTTATTTATTGATAACCGGAAATATGAAGTACCCTTTTGAAGAAATTGCAATTAAAATACTTATCAATATTAACTCGAAATGTTTTGTATATTATGACGAGAAGAATAAAGAATTACCACCATTTCATTCATTCATTCATTCATTATAGATAGAATTAAAATATTTTTTAATTCATGATAGTTTCTTTATAAATTTACTTGCAGAAAAGCCACCTTTGATCATTCATTTAAGTGGGTAACTTGGGAATATTAAATCCTAAATGGAATTGATATCATTACAAAATCTAGTCATCCGGTTTTTTCTTTGTTTTCCGGCTAAAGTAATTTCACGCGAGTAGATCCAATTTTAGCGGCGACTGGCGCCAAGTAGATGTAAATATTACCTTATTTTAATAGGTTTCATCTATACCTCGTTTCAAATTATTTCCATTCATTGACACATTAAACTAAGATACGCAAACATATGAAAATCTTTTTTTTTATTAAGTAGTACAATTATTTTTTAATTATGATTTATAGTTTGGTTGCAAGGGTCAATGAAAAATATATTCAAATCGTAATTATGTGTGCAACCCGAAAAAAGATTTACCTGAAACCTAACTATTACAGAAAACAAGAGAATTCAATTGATAAATTGTATTTTTAATATTTTTTTTTTTGCGCCTATTTTTAGTTTTTTCTCAGGAGATTATTTGCAGCACTAATTTCTTTCTAGGGTTATGTATATATTGGATGATTTAAATATGTAGATCTAGAGCTATCACACAAAAATCCAATCAAAAAGGTTTTCGCAACGTTTAAGAAAATTTTTTTTTGATTTTTATTACTTGGAATTCCCTGTCGAGCACAAATTACCATCCGTTACAATTATAATTATTTAAAAAAAAAATGAATCCGCCTCAAAAAATTCATGAATAAGAATAAATTATGTCTCATGATTAAAACTCAATGCAATTACAAATGAAAAATTCTCTAGTAAAAAGAAAAGCTAGGAGGGAATCAAGAAATTTTAGCGTTCGAGAGATCAAGTTCCGGATGTTGCGCTTTAAACTTTTCCAGCATCGCTTTTTTTTGTATTTCCTCAGATGTTTCTTTGCCGAGTTGCTTTTGGCGTTGATCAAACTAACGTTTACAAATGTCATGATTAATTAAATCTATATTCTTTTATAAATTCATACAGTTCATATGCAACACATACCATCATCTTTTCAACCATTGCACGGGTCTCTCCATCCAAATCACTCAATTTTGAGTTTTCTGGTTGGATCTTTGTAGTGTCGATGGCTGGATCTGTGGCAATCACATTACGCCACCATTCCGTGCCATGAACCTTCTCCAGATGAATATTTATTTCCTTTTGGGAATCTTTATGATTTCGTCATTATATTGAATAAACGTGTTAATCAAATAATTCCAATGACGAATAGTCATACAATAATTTTTTTGGAACTTACCAAGAGTCCATGTGCTATCATCAACCTTTACTTCTTTGCATAATTCTCCCTGTTTTATAGATTAGAAAGAAAAAATAAACTTCAAAGATTCCTCGATCCGCTTTTCGCAAAAAAGATCAAATCACAAAAAGACAAATTAAAAAAGATCTCATCCATCAACTCAGGTTTTCTTCATATGTGAACTTACGTCAATAATAGGTGGCTTTCCTTTTAAACCAACCGTCAAATGTTTTCTTTTTATGACAACATTCAAGTCACGACCTCGTGTACCTGGGGTAACCGGTATTGTGACATCAACATCCTGTAGGGTTTGTTTCCAGCGATAAGGCAAGGCTAATAAATTGTTCAAATAAAACGAGATTTGATTATTAAAAATTCGGGAACTTGATAAAGAATTTGAATCTTTTTATTTAATCTTAATTCTATTTTTGATGAACGGTTAAAATACTCGCAAGTTAAAGATATAACTATCGTTCAAGATAAACCTATCTATAAAAAATTACCAGCTTGCTCTGCTTCCTCTTTAGCTCTTGCAGCTTTTTCTTGCTCTGTAAGTTCGGGTGAAAATTCGTCGTCACTGTCGGACATTATTGAATTTGTAAGGTTCAAAAAAAAAAGAGGAAGGATGATGTCAGATTATATTTTCGGAATGCTATGGAATCTTCTCGAAGTATCTATCCACCAGAATATTCGACATGAGAAAATATTACCATATATATATAATATACTGTATATACTGCAAATCATTGTTTTGTGCTCATATTTTTTTCTCTTTTTCTTCCAAGGTCTTGCTGCAACTCATTTTAAAGTTTTACTGAATGTCCCTAATATGTGCAATTCATTATAATCATTGACAACTTTTTTTTGATGCCAGTTAAAATTATTAAGTTCTCAAAACATTATGAATAGAGTTTTGCAAGAACAAATGCGATTTAAATTAAACACTTGACTTTTTATTCCCGTTTCTAGTAATATCGTAAACCTTTGGATTAACAAACACCAGTAAAGATGCCGAATATTTTGGATCATCCCAGTTTTGCTGTTTCTACACAGAGTTGAGGTGCCGCTTAAATGCTAATTCAATAACACAATAAATGTCCTCGTTTTGGTTCGAAACTTATTTTTCCGAGGCATTAAAGTAATACATATAAATTCTATACAGAAAGCAAATTCACCAAAATTCAATTTAAATTGAGTTTATTGTAATTTTTGTATTACTCCTTCATCGTTATCTGAGAGTATTGTCATTGCCGAGTCCTTGATTTGTTGTTTTTTCATCGAAATGTTTCAACCGTTGTAAGAATTTAAGCATTTGCAAGCTAAGGTTATATATAATCGTGTCTGCAAACAGTTAGATTGCATCACATGGACTGGTTTACGCAAAGTACTAAAGTCTAGGGAAGATGGCAAAATTGCACGTCTGTCATTTTTATTGCAGTTAGTAAAATAGTATCGTCGTTAGGTTTTCTTTTGCTTTTTCGAAAATGAATTTACATCAATCTGTAATGGAATTTTATAATGAAATAAACGCATAATAATATCTATAATTTCTCTAAATCCAAACGCAATTGGTTAATATAGTCAATAATCTGTTCTGTTGTGCTTCGGATACTTCTACGCAAACACACTATATCTCAACTGTCGACTTTGAGAACTTCAGCAGTTCAGCCTTGAAGGCCTCTGGGTTTTTTTTTCAAAGATGGCTGATTGGAGTGCCAAGTCATTTTCTTGAGTCAATTTCTCGGAGTAATTTTAAATCAAAATTTCCAGCTTTAGTCAATTTTTCCGACATTGCGGAAGAGGGAGTTCGGTGCTATGGATCATTTCGCAAGTGGGTTTTTTAAAATAAAAGTTCCTGCATTAATTCGTCACGTAGTCAAAAAAAAATTGGCTGCAATTTTTATCCAATAATTGAGAAATTTAATGCAATGTATATTAGAATCTTTAAAAATACAAGAACTAATTAACTACTTCTAAATGTTATATTAGTAAATAAATAAACGCGAGTCTTTGAATTGTTCATGGAAGAGTAACTTATCCATTGGGATTGGATTGGGATAGAGAAAATGAATTTTGTAAGTTATTCAGTAGTATGCTACCATCCACGATTTGCCAGCAACTGGTTCTTTTGTAACGTGTCAATGTTTATGCCAACCTATTGACAATTTTATATCAATTAATTATGTACGAATGAATGTAATAAATCCAAGTTTATAAAGTTAATATTACCATAGCTTCACCGAGATCTTCTGAAACACTCGCTAGAATTTTAGGATCATTATAATATGTAACAGCTTGAACGATTGCCCTCGCCCTTTTAGCGGGATCACCCGATTTAAATATTCCCGAACCAACAAATACGCCATCACAACCAAGTTGCATCATCATAGCAGCATCTGCAGGTCTATTTCCATAAAACCACAAAATAAATAAAAAATTTCATCAAAGAAAAAAATAACAAGAATAACTCACGTTGCAACTCCACCGGCTGAAAAATTCACCACGGGAAGTCTCTTCAATTGTGCTGTCTCCTTCAATAACTGATACGGTGCCTGTAACTCCTTTGCATAACTATACAACTCCTCGTCATTCATCACGGATGCTCGTTTGATTTCCGAAGTGATAGTCCGCATATGGCGGACAGCTTCAACAACATTGCCTGTGCCGGCTTCGCCTTTAGTACGTATCATTGCAGCACCTTCCGAAATACGTCGAAGAGCTTCGCCCAAATTTTTGGCACCACATACAAACGGGACCTTGTAATTTTGTTTGTTGATGTGATGTTGTTCGTCTGCTGGGGTAAGTACCTCAGACTCATCGATAAAATCTATGCCGATTGCTTCCAAAATCTTTGGAAAATGATTTAATACAAGCGCGTCTACTAAACATAAATGATGGAAAAAATCTAAAATATTACTACTCACTTGTGCTTCTACAAAATGCCCAATTCTAACTTTGGCCATTACTGGTATTGTTACTGCATTCTTTATTTCTATAATCATTTTAGGATCGGACATACGTGCCACACCACCTTTTATTATTATTATTATTATTATTATTATTATTAGAACAGAAATTAGCATATATTTCCGAATGAATATCATATTAACGAAATTTTGTTTCTAACCATCTTTCCGAATGTCTGCCGGAACTCGTTCTAGTGCCATTACGGCGGCAGCACCAGCCTCTTCTGCTATCCTCGCCTGCTCAGCATTTATTACATCCATAATGACACCACCCTTTTTGAATAGAAACATTTTTGGTTTATATTCTACGAGAGGAATACTAGAATTAGAAGCATTTTCTAGGTGAAATTATTTACCTTTAGCATTTGAGCAAGCCCTACTTTGGTTTTAAAAGTAGCCGAAGTGGGAACTCCATTTTGTACTGTTTTTGACGACGAATTCTGGTCATTTAGAGGTACAAGATTTGTTGGCACAGCGAAGCTAGACATTCTTTTTTATATGTTCGAAAAAAAAAATGATTTAGCTCGAGCAAACCCTTTTTTGTTACCATTAAAAATCAAAAATTTTTTATCGTTATGTAATACTGTATGCATGTCCTAATCCGTATTTGGATTCAGTTTGATCAGTTTTTTTGAGTAATATTGATCGGTTTTGAGTAATATGGTGTCATAATACACACGAAAAATCAATAATTTCACGAAATTATTTTGTTAATAATGTCAAATCCTGTTCCTGCTGTAATAAAAAATATTCATGAGGGACCAACCAGAGGCATTATTACGCATGGCTGGAAAATTACCTCGACTAAACTTCCTATTCTTAATGCGAAAGAAATAGAGCGGTATGATTTAAGGAATTTTTATTTGGGATGCTTGTGAAGATTCGTTTTTAACTTTGTTTTAGTGCACAAGCAGAACTAGACATTCCTCTTCCTGAAATGTTCTTTGGCAATAACCGGATCACGATCTCTAATGAACATGGATTTGAACTTGAGTTTTCACCTATGGAAGCTTTAAAGCACGTGGACGCGTCTAAAGAAGGTGGTGATAAAGTTAAACTTGCATATTCGGAGGAATGGAAGAAGAAAAGGTTGAAAATAATTCCATTGATTCGATGAAGCATCTAATAATTATTAATGACCAAAAATGGTACTTTCTTTTTCTCTACGAAAAGTGAGAGGAATCATGAGCATGTTAAAGATGTAGTGAAGCCATACGACTGGACATATTCCACTTCATATCGTTGCACGGTGAAATTAGCACCGGACGGGCAGGTTTTTTGTCTAGATTTATTGTGTGAATGCACCATGAGACTATATATATCTCGCTCATCCTCAAAAAAAAAAAAATAGGATTTCAAGCCGACAACTGATCGTATTAACATCGAGAAACTCAAATTGCCAGAGCCAATCAATTTTTACGATGAGAATATCCTTTTCGAGGATGAACTAGCTGATAATGGCACTGCGATGTTGAATGTAAAAATGGTAATATTATTTTTATCCATTATATTTTATTTCTCTAGCTAATAAATATTTTGACTTGATTACTCTAGCGAGTCATGCCTTCTGGATTCTTTGTTCTGCAACGTTTCTTTTTAAGGGTAGATGATGTATTATTTAGATTAAATGAGACGAGGATATATCATGAATTTGGGACTGATTATTTAATCAGAGAATACTCGTCGCGGGAAGAAACTTATGATAAAATACGCGCGGCGCTGCCGCCGTACAAAGGCGATGACATATCGCAGTTGACCGATCCTGATTGGGTATCTTCTAAATTACCTCCACCACGGGAACAGATCATTGAGAAGATAAATGTTGTGCCATCGAACACTGAACAACCAAAATAATAATAATAAAAGATTTCGTAAATGGTTTGAACTCATTATAATATACTTGAATATTATTTATGTTTATTAGTGTTTAGATTTTATTAATTATATAAATTCATAATTTTTTCCCAAATTTATATAAAATATATTATAGGCTAAAAGTCTTTATACCGCCATAGTTGAAATAATCTTGCTTATTCTTTTCCTGAACTTTATTAAATAAAGGTATCTGTGGGTATGTAAAAGAGATAACATATACCTGATTACAATCTCAAAAAAATTCTTCATCAAACGACGAGTAAATTATAGCAGAAAGCTCTTGCAGTTGTTTAACATTTTTTACAGCCTATAATTCAATTTATCAAAAAAAAAGATAAGATTGGAATTTTATTTAGGGCTTTATTGAAACCAACAACAAAAAGCACAAACCTCAAGATATCGATTAGGCACACCATTGATCACAGCATGCGCCTCTTTAGAGATATCAGGTAAAAGTCGAGCAAGTGCGACCAACCGTTCTAATCGTTCTGAGTCGTCATTCTCTTCGCTTTTTGGCACCGCAAGAAACCTCGAATACATGTTGCTATTTAATAGTGAAAATACAGAGTCGAGACACGCTGCGAGTACATCTCGAAAATCTTCACTATAAAATGGTGCGTGGAGTATGATTAAATTATATTATTCAATTATAAAGTGAAATGTGGATGATATACCTATCCAAGTAATCTTTAGATTCATCCAATAATTTTCTAAGCTCTTCATCAATTGTTGGATCCTCTTGTGCGTCGCCTCCTTTTCGGAGTACCTCAATTTCTTCTTCTAACGAATCTGGTAACATAACATGACGGAAACTAGTAGAATGAATAAGTAATTATTTTTTGCAGATATTGAAATAACAATTATAATTAGTATAATAATGAATAATACCTTCCAAATTCTTCATTCAATTCAACTTGTGCTCGAATTTCACTGATGATCCATACAAAATCCTTGTACGAAATTTCTTGATTAAATTGCATACTACGAATTAAAGAACAATTAACCCGAAAAAATATTTATATTGCAAATAGAAAATAAATAAAAAAAAACGAACTCTGAAAGAATTCGTTCAACTGCAGATTTCACACGTTCAACAACACGTTTCCATCCAACATTCAACAGCCACCAACTAAACGTCAAATATCTTTTTTCACTTTCGAGATTTAGGATTGTTCCTTTGGCCGGTTGTATATGAATGGTTTGCTCTTTTTCGCGTTCGGTAAGTGATACCACCGAGTATAGGTAATTAAAGCGACCCAACAGGTTTAATTGTATATGGATTAGAATTGTGAGGAGTGTGACCGAGTATATAGCTGATATCGTTCGGGTAAAGCCTAAACGAAACAAGGTTTAAGAAATTAATCATTATTATTGCAATTTGTAAGTTCACAGTTATCAACCGAAATTAAATACATACTCTTAATCTTTATTTCACTCCATAATTCAAGTTTTGCAGTTTTAAGATTCGCACGAGAAACAGCTGTATCTACACTTGTATCATCAGACAAATGAGATAATGGCACACTTTCTTCATTGCCATGACTTTCTAAAGTTGATTTTGACTCGGCTTCATCAGGTTTCTCGACGAAAACAACCGAAGCTGACGGCGTCTGCGCCGTTTCCTTCTCTTCATCGACCAGAACAACCGAAGAAGTCGGAGAAATTGCCGGTGTTAAAGTTGATTTAACCTTCATTTTTTGTAGTTTGGCAATGACAGCCTCTACGTTTATCGCCGATAATAGTTCGTCTCCCAAGGTCGGAAGATGGGTTAGTACGGTGTACGTGCAATCATGTTGTCTCTGCTGAAAACGGCGTTTCATGCTTTTTATTATTACGTAGGGCGCGTGAAAATGAGCAAGTTAACAACTTGCAAAATCAAAGGAAGAGAGATTATTTATCGATATGTTAATTATTTATTACTTTTCTTTCGCCGTTCTTTCAGCCCCGGCCTTGTCTCTGAATTCTTCTATTTTCCATTTAGCATACTTTCCAATAAAATAAGAACTCCCAGCGATAAATACGGTTATGCTAATGCCTCGACGGTGTTTCTTGATGTATTCTGTTATTGAAGAGATCATTCTTTAGTATTATTATTAATATATAGGATTCGTCTGATCTATTCAGTTTGATAGTTTAAATAGTTTTAATATTATCGTAAAACAAAAAAAAGGCAAACAATTCAATACAAATTAGGTTAGACCAATTTGAACTTTATTTCAACATCGCACAGTAAAATATTGCGAGCACCTATTCCAAATATGAGTAGCAAAAAGAACGATTGGGGACAGCAATTCACAGAAGAACCATTCGATGCGTGGGGAACCATAAAAACTTCAACCAATGACAGTGAAACTAAAGCTGTCGGCTGGACTAAAGTTGTCAAGCCAGCACCAACTAAAAATCAGAAGTTAATTTGGATGGAGACTAGTAAAGAAGGCTCTGAACAAAATGAACGCCCCCTTTGGGCTCACGAGACCCTTAAAAAAGAGCAAGAGACGAAGAAAGATGAATTGCCATGGAATAGCAAATCAACCACGAAATCGAAAAATGTGTCCTCGGAAGTTTCAAAGGAACAAGTATCATGGGTATCTGATATGAGTGAATCATATGATAATAGCACTAACGTAAACTCTTGGAATAAGATCTCCAGTAAAAGCAGTACTCGCAATAAACAACGCATATCATCGTCGTCGAACACGAGATCAGGGCGTCATTCTTCCAATAGTAAACAACAATCGAGAAGAGATGACAAAGGTCCCATATTACCAGAGCTTATTGAGCTGGAAAAACCAGAAAAAAAAGGGTTTCGTGCCATACCTATTATACCTACAAAAGAAGAGTTATTTGCGAAGCGGCCCAAGGATTTACCAGTGAATAAACTTGATGAGCCCTATGAAAACGTTGACGAATATTTGTCGACTCATTGTCGACTATTGAGGGAAGATTGTATGCGTCCGTTACGAGAAGGCATTCAGAAGTTACGAAGGATTAATAATGGTAGGAAACAAAAGACTGGTGATAACGATGATGAAGACGGGGAAGCAGTTGAATATGCTGACGATGAAGCTGAAATGCAAGAGGAATTGTCTGATATTAGAGTGTATGAACATGTGAGTTGTTGATTGAATTCAAAATCATTTTTTTGAAACTCACAATTTTTATTATTGAACTCTACAGATACAAATTGTTGGAATCACGTTTGCGAATATGGGAATCGTTCATCGAATTTCATTCAGAACTAAATACGGTGAACGTATCACTTGGTATATTATATTATCTATCTGCTAATTTAGAAAATCCTGATTTAATAAGCATCACAATGATTACAAAAAAGGTCGCAGAGCAAAAGATTGATTTCCGGCACTCTAGTCGTTTTCACAAACGACAATTTTGAAAATATGGTGGTTGGCACAGTAGTCAATCGCTCACTGGACCTTCTTACTCAGCCATCTGACCTACAAATAGATGTTCTTCTTTCCGGGGAGACATTCCATTATAATTGGCCGACAAACTACATAATGGTAAGGTTAAATAAAGTATATTTCTGATTGAATTGATGAAATGTTTATATATAATTCATATATGTCAGGTGGAATGCACTTCTGCTTATTTCGAAGGTATTATAAAATGCATAATTGGTTGATTATTAAAAGCTCTCGACGAGCAATATAAAAAATTAATCAATTATTTGTATACTCGTTATATTAGCTTATCGTCACGTACAAAAAGTCTTGCAGGAGTTGGACCCAGAGACGCTTCCATTCAAATCCCATTTCATGGGCCATGACCGTGATAAAGAAACTCCACCGCCACAATATCTACTTAAACGTCAGCCTGTCTATGAATTTAAGAATTTGGAAGCGATAAAAAATCTGGAAAAGTCTAACGGCACGACGATGGTACATTATAATATATAATAGTACTTTATTTTTAATGTTGATAAAACCATACCTCAGTTGAGGATGAAATGTTCTTTAAGTTTCCTCAATCAAAAAACTATTCCCTCCAAAAATATCAAAGAGATTAAATATGTTTGTTTTCTCGATTAGATTGATATTAAAGATTCATGGCCGTCTTACGATCAACTTGACACAAGTCTACACATGTCTCAGTACGAAGCAATTTGGCGAATGTTAACTCATTGCGTTGCATTGATTCAGGGTCCTCCGGGGACTGGTAAAACATATGTCGGGTTATCTGCGATTCGTTTACTTCTCGAAAATACCTCAGGTTTAATTATAATCGCTTGTCAGACTAATCATGCTTTGGATCAATTTCTTGAAGGTTGGTTTGTACTACATTTGCAAATTTTTCAAGGATTCCATATTTATAAGCATGGGAATTCGTTGAACTATAGGAATACAAGAATTTGAGCCAGACATTATTCGCCTCGGCTCGCGCTCTAAATCTGAAAAGATAATTCCTAGAACATTATATAATATTTCGAGAGCCCTGAAGGATACTGAGCAGCCAAACAATAAAGCGCGTAGACAATTAATGAAAGAACGTCGTTTTATTGAGGGAAAGATGAAACAGCTATGTGAGGAGATAAGCAATCCTTGCATTAGCTTGGACTTTATAAAAGAACAGGAATTACTTAACGATGAACAATTGACAAGTCTGCAACAAGATGATTGGGTTACCTCGCAAGACTACATGACGGTTGATGAATCAAACCGTGATTTCATTAGAGAATGGCTTGAACCAGTTATTAGAATACATTCTTCAAAGCACGATGCACTCGAACATCAACTTGCACAGATGGATCTTGAAGGCCGAATAGTGACCGAAGAGAACGATGATACTGAAGTCGACGAGGAACTTCTTGAAACCATCGAAGCTGAGTTCCAAGATGGCCTACTTCGCGACGAAAATCAAAAATTATATGGAGATTTCGTGCATTTGAGAAGTGAAGAATATGTAGAGGATGAGAATGAATTCTTTACAGACAATGAGTTAAAAGAGTTCGAGTCAACAGATGATGTTTGGACGATTCCCGAGAATGCTCGCGCTGTAATTCATAATAAATGGAAAAGAAAGAAAATGCAAAAAGCACAGAAAGAGCTTGAGAATCTTTCTTTTAAATACGCAGAGATTTGTGCGAAGATTAAAAAGGAACGGATGCGAGAGGATATTTTAATTTTACAAGGTGCTCGAGTGGTTGGCATGACTACCACTGCTGCGGTGTGTATTCAAGATTTATATCGGGTGATCGGGTGAAATACATGTAATTGAGTTCGTTAGAGTTGATTATCATATTGCGTTTTGCTTAATTTAGGCTAAAAATCATGACCTGTTGGTCAATCTCAAACCAAAAATTATTATGCTTGAAGAAGCAGCTGAAACTTTAGAGGCACATATTATCACAGCTCTCACGCCGTCCACAGAGCATTTAATACTTATTGGGTAAGATCAGACGCCCAAGTACATGTTTATTAAATTAACCAGTATTAATTTGTTGAATTACTCTAAATCAGTGATCATGAACAACTGCGACCCAGCACTGCAGTTTACGAAATGGCTGGAAAACATGTAATAAGAAAGTTGAAATTTATTCTTTTCAAAATGATCGTAATAGAAAATGATAGTATGGATAATATTACAACTATTTTGTAGAAATTGGACGTGTCCTTATTCGAGAGACTTACCGGATTTTTGCCATTCACACGTCTCTCGGAACAACGACGTATGCGGCCAATAATTCGCCAACTTTTAACACCGATATATGGTACAGAAATCGAAGACGCTCCAAACGTCCATGAATATCCTGATGTTATAGGAATGACTGAGAATCTCTTTTTCATTAATCACGAAGAAGAAGAAAAGAATGTACATGATTCCAAAACGAAAATCAACGAGCATGAAGCGACAATGTGTGCCAAACTGGCAGGGTACCTAGTGAAGATGGGATATGAAAGTAGTCAAATGTAAGATTTTTTTTGTATTTGAAGTTTTTATAGTTAAGGTACCATTTTTTTAACTTGTTACATTATATATATGATCCAACAACAGCACAATATTGTGTATGTACACTGGTCAAAGAGAGAGAATAAAAAAGTTATTGCGTGAAGAAGCTTCTAAATCGGTCGATTCTATAAGGAGTATCAAGGTGGCATCGGTGGACGGGTTTCAAGGTGAGGAAAACGATATAATATTGTTATCCTTGGTGCGAAGTAGCCCACAACGTGGTATAGGGTTCTTAAGTGTGAGCAATCGAGGCAAGTAGTAATTTTTCCTTCTAATCACTTTTTTTAATTATAAGAATTATTAATTCTTATTATTTACTTTGTAAATATTTTATTAGTGTGCGTCGCATTATCAAGAGCCAAACATGGCATGTATATATTTGGCAATGCAGGACAATTAGCCGAAAAATCTGCTTTATGGCTAAAAGTTTTGATGATCCTTGAGGGAATGAAGAAGATTGGGAAACGATTAAAGCTCATCTGTCCGAAACATTCAACACGGATAGAGCCAGTAATAACTTCTGTAGAGTGGGCTGGTGAATTTCCACCAGATGGAGGATGCTTCAAGAAATGTGGTGAATTGATGGATTGTGGACATGTATGTAGTCGTATATTATTAAAGTATTTGATTTCTTTATTTAAATGATTATTTTGAATAGTTATGTCCTCGTGGTTGCCATATTGATTCGCACGATCGAGTCGCATGTCGGGTAAGTTTTTTTGACATCTCATAGTCATTCCACCTAGACTAAATTTTCAATTTGAACTGACATTATATTTTGTTATACATACTTTCAATTCAGGAACCCTGCTTACGTACACTTCCATGCGGGCATCCATGTAAGAAGGAATGTCGGCGTCCATGTGGTCCGTGTGATGTCCCGGTAGAAATAAATCCAAAATGTGGACACAAAAGAGAAATAGCATGTCAAATGTTAAACGAGTACAAGTGTTCGGACAAGTGCGGAAAGAAATTACGATGTGGACATCAGGCAAGTGTTTTTTAAGCTAAATGCCTTCCAGCAAACATGTGGTATCTCATTGTGGATTTCTTCTATATTAGTGTGACGCACTGTGTTCCCAATCATGCACATCAATGTGTCGTGTATTAGTGAAGGTGCAATTTCCTAATTGCAGACATACTGATAGAAGTTTTTGTTATGAGGAAAATCTAAAGAAGCAGAAAGGGTGTAGGTTTTGTTAGAGAATGATTGTAATTAACGAATGTATATGTGATGGTACTTTGTTGCTTGAATTAGATGACATTGTATTTTTTATATTTTATCTATTATTTGCACGTTTTTATACAAAAAGACTATTGTTAAAATTACTGTTAAAATTGAAAAAACCTATAAATACATATTGGTAGAGGTTTAGCCACGTATAAAGAAGCGAACACTTGCCCAGATGGAATGCTCATTATTATATCTTATAGTTGAAAATACTTTTTTGATTTTACCAGAGAAATAGCAAGCAAATAAATAATCCAAAACTTAAAAATCCAAGATGAACTAATACAAAGTCTCAAATTCAAAAAGTCCCTACTCTCAAGCAAATCTAATTTAAAACGAATAAATTGGATGGATATCACCATAATTTACATTTATCGTCGGGATTCATAAATGACCCCTTTTTACACTTGAATGTTTCCGAGAAATGTCCGGAATTTTTCAGAACACCATTAACGCGCCATTTTGGAGGCGAATGAGGGTCTGTACGTATCTATTGATTGGACCATCAAATAATTATTTTCATTGTAAGAATTATAAAATTCATCATGAAAAAATTTCATAAAAAAATTAATAATAAAAATACCCTTTCAACAGCATTTTCAGGTCGAGTTTTTGAACACCAAACACGTGCAAAAGACACATAGAATAATTGTTCGCGCGTGAAATTTTTGAGTCCAGGAAGTAAATAATTTTTGTGTATTTTTTGGTCGGGGTCGGCTTTGTAGTTTGCTAACCAGGCGTAATAGGCTGCACGTAATCTTCATATTTAAGTTAATGAATATAGAATTCAGTAGTTGTAGCATACAAGTATTAGCACTAATAAAAAATTTTATTATTTACCCTCCATTATCAGCCAAATTCTCACCAAGAGTCAATTTTCCATTCAAGTTTACCGGCAAACCTTTCGGATCGTTAATTGTATAGTTCGAGTATTGTTTGACGAAACATTGGGTTTGGTTGTTGAATGCTTCTATTGTGGCATTTGACCACCACTAAATTAATTAAAAATCCTTTTAGAATCATAGAAGTTATATAATGTTAATAAAAAGGATGATTAACATATTTTCACCTGAGTCAATCGGCCTTTTTCATCATATTGTCGACCACTGCTATCAAATGCATGCTAAATAGGAATTAGAAATTTAAACAGTAAATGTTAACGAGGATATAATTTTGAATCCAAACAAAATCAAATACTAACCGTAAGTTCATGTCCAATAACCACACCTATCGCACCGTAATTTACATACTCCGGATTTGTAGCAAAGAAAAATGGGGGTTGTAGGATTCCTAAAAGTGGAACAAATTTTTAAAGATGAATATATTTGCATATATTATAGAAAGTTAATTTATTAAAAAACTACCTGCAGGAAACACAATTTCATTTGCAGTTGGATTCTAAAACACATAAATAAGTACAACAATAATAAAAACCCAAAATAAATTTCTATAGAAAAATTAAAAAACTTACATAATACGCATTAACGGTCTGTGGGGTCATATACCAATTTCCTTTTTCAACCGGTTTCCCAACTTTGCGCCAATCACGATCCGTTTTCCACTTGTTTCCGCTGACAATATTTTCAAAGTACATTGTCTCACCAATTTTTAGAAGCTCGTAGTATTCGGCGAGAGATTTTGGATCCATCGTGTCCGGTGTAGAGTCTGGGTACCCGACTTTTACTGCGATTTGATTGACCTAACATATATTTTTATATATAAATATTATATTTATTCCATATATCCAATTTGTACACGTGCATTGTTGCATGTTCGAAAAAAATATACCTTGTATATAGCTTTTTCTCGAGTCGTTTCATCCAACCAATCGAGATGAGGCATTCTTTCTATGAATGCTTTTTTTATCGATTCGATAATTTGGTGAGAAAGATTTTTACTATCACCTATTGGAAGAAAAGACTAAGTAAAATTAGTTCGAATTCCAAACCGAAAAAAAAAGGGATAAAACTGACCTTTAAAAGTTTTTAAGACAAAGAATCTACCAGCCATATATCCCATCACATCATCCACAACCTTCAAGCAGGTCTCCCATCGTTTCGGTTTGACCGTCCCATCCACACCTTTAAGCGTAGCAGACAAGCGACGCAACGTTGCCTGGAATTCCTCGTCTAAGTGATCTGCATATTCAAAAATAGTCTGCCATAAAAAATACACCTGTAGAGTGGATGGAGGCGTTTCCTCGATCAATTGTGATAATTTCTCGAAATATTCATTTGAGGTTAGAATGACCTTGGACGGGAAATCAGCGGCGGGGGGTAATAATGCTTCGATAAGTTGAGGCCAAAAAATCATTTTACATAATTGGTCTAACGAAGGAATCGAGTGTGGATTGTATATTGCTTCAGGGTCAGAAAATTCTTCACTAAATCCGATATATTAGGGAAAATTTAATGAAGAAACAATAAAATATTTAAGCCAAACTAAAGCAAAAGACACACATACGCAGAAAGAGAAAATTTCGCGAGTTTTTTTTCAAAGTCAACGATTTTATCAGCAAGATGTTCCCATTCATTCTGTCGATATCGTTCCATTCCAGCATCAAGCATCGATCCTAGGATGTTAGATTCAAAAACGGTGTTTGTTTCATCGTCATAAATTTCAGCACCAAGAGCTTTCTCCATTAACTCTGCTACCACACTTTTGTATACACTCAAAATATTTTCTTCCTCATAGTATTCTTTCGAAGGAAGCCCAAGGCCCGACTGCGACAAATACAACGCATTAATATCCGGTTTTTTAGCATCCGCTTCAATAGAGAATTCAAACAATGCGGTAACTCCAATTTTCGACAAATAAGTAAGCGTATTAGTCAAATTCGTTTTATCAGCAGGTGAAGATGGTATTTTCGGTTCTGCTATATCATCATCATCTTCTTTCTCATTATTAGCATGAATCAATTCTGATAAACCTTGATATTTTCTTAATTTTCGTTCCAACAAGTAAATCAATGATTGATCCGGCTCAACTGGGAACAACTTTATAATTTCTGCCAGAATTGGCTCTAATGGTTTGACACCTACTTTTGCAATTTGTGTTAGGTTCATGCATGATTTGTAGAGTGATTGTAGTTTATAAAAGTTTAATTTGTCTTGCATTTCAGATGGGTTTGGAAAAGTTGGTTCTTTCCCGTTATCATTTGTTGGACTGTGTTCACTTTCTAATAGACTTTTTAGAATTTTCTGGAATAAACGAATTTATGTTAATATTGAATATAAAAATTAGCAGATTTCAGAAACAAAAGAAACACACCTGATTATCTTCATATAAGCTATTAAAAATTCCGTATTGACCTTTATCATCAGCGATCACATTTTTATCTAGCCATCCACCACCTTTTATAAAATTGTAAAAATTTCCATTTTTATGATGAAATCTAAGTGAACTATCATAATCGAGACTCTCACCCATATTAACTTCAAATCGATAAAGAACAACTTTTCTAGTAATAAATTTAATTATACTCACAAGAATACTGAAAAAAATCCTGGCAAGGGTCAATTTTCGTATCCATATCTGAAATTATCTCAGCAGCAGCTATCACACAGTGTGGTTCCAGACAAGGTTCCTATCCAACATAAAAATAACTTGATTAATTCAATCACTTTGCATAATAATTTCAATATATTTTAAAGGTATTACACACACCTCTTCTTTCTCTACTGGAGGACACTTCGGCGGCAATGGTGGTGGTGTTGGTTCAACCTGATGCTTATTTGACTTCCCACGAGCATATAATCCCGCAAAAACGCTCGTCAATATCAGAAATAAGACACAGGTGAGCGCTAATATAACCTCTAAATGTGAAAACTTTCGCGCATAGTTTGGCTCAGGACGTCTACGTGCTCTTGGACCTCCTGAGCCACTTCCTGTCCTACTGCCTCCCGGACCAAGGTGACCACTACCAACTCCACCACCTGTAGGCCCTAAGCCACCATTACCAAGGCCATCCCCATGATTGTCGCTTAATAGTGGAGTTTGTTCGTCTTGCATATTATGTCTTTTCAATAGGATTTATATTTTGTATTTGAATTCTGAATTGTAAACGTTCTTCACTAATTTATCTTTATTTATTGGATATTACAGAGTATAATTACCGAGTACACCAGATGAAAATAAAAGGAAAGTACTGAAAAATCTGTTTCTTCAACCGAACAGTGTTTAATCACGTGAACAAAACTTTTAATTGGTGGATTGGTGATTTTTAATGGAAAACCACTTTTCTGTTTTAACCATGTCTATTAATAGAAATTTTCTCATCTTCAATAGTCGCGTCACGTTGGTACACGTGATTACAAGAAAAAAAAAAGTACCAGTAAAGAAAAAAATAAATATTAAACAATAACAAGGGAGCTAATCTTTCATAGTGTATTTGTTCTTTTTGTACCGAAATTATTCACTAACTTTTTGAGTTAACTTTCCAATTAATATTGGTTTCAAAGTCTTATCAAGGAGCGACCTCATCCTGAGCCAGAGCAGTCTCATTTTCCCGCATCACAGCAGTCTCCAAGAGAAAATTTATGGTAGATATCGATGATGATGAAACAGAAATATTGTCCTAAATGCGAGGAGTTAAAAAACAAAAGTCATCGATACACAAGCTGAATTATTAAAAGCTCAGAAAGAGATCATAGAATTATTGCAGGCATTCTTTAAAACTATGGAATTTCAGTGTTGGCCTATGACCTTGATATGACCTCGAACTTGAGACATATAACCTCAATTTTATTGTAGATTTCGTATGACTTATTACCAGTCATATGAAAAATGGCTTATGATCATGAAATTGCCAACACTGTAGGATTTAGTTTTAAGTAATAAATTTAATTTTCGTTTGATATCTGTTTAATAAAGTTAAAATTTTTTTCGACTATATAATTTACTCGAAATTTTGAATTTCTTTCCCCAATACGGAAAGCTGCTTGATTCCAAAAAATTAAAACCATCGAAAGATTCACGGAATTTTTGCACTGTGAAACTTACCATTATTGATGGTAAAAATAATGAAGGATTATAAATTTTTAATACACCGAGGATTTCCAATAAGGATTTCTTCATCAGGGAATTTTTGAGCTGCATATAAAATGTTTAAACAGAATTATTCGCCAAAGATGCCATTAACTATACAAAAGTTTTACGATTATTAGTTTTCGAATTTCTGCTTGATTCATTTTTTCGCCTATTAATATTTGATTTTTTTTCAGCCAGATAATGAATATGTTTTTCCCTATTATTATTATTATTATTATTATTATTATTATTATTATTATTATTATTATTATTATTAGGATTTAAGGACTCTAGTCTTCGTTCAAATCGACGGAGAGGTGGTTGTTGCTGTCGTTCTTGTTCTTTTTGTACAGAAAAAGATTTATCATCTGGTGATGATGGTGATTTTATTGTTCTTATAGAAGAAGAAGATGATGATGATAATGAAGAAGGTGAATATTCACGTGATTCATTTGTAGGGCCGGTTGATTTTCCTTCGAAAACCATTTTCTTGACTTTTCCAGTTTCTGCCATGCCAGGATCGATTCCTCCACGAGGTCTTACTCTTGTGAATCTGATAGTATGCAGTGATTGCAAAATTAAATTTTCCAATTGTTTCTTTATATCTTCTGCAGCCTCAACAGATGAAAATGATCCCGGATATCTATAACTGAATAATTTAAGATAATGTTAACTTGATCAAAAAATATACACCCCATTTTTTTTTGATCAAGAGAAAAAGCATCCAACCTTAACCACATATATAGCATTACAACTCGATGAGCCGATTCTAGTTCTTTTAGTCTTTCGTTTGTCGTGGCATGTGACTCAGGGACTCTAACTAAACTTTCTAGTAGGCATATTTGTTGTTTACTATACATTGTAGCGAACTGATATCAAAGTAGAAAAAAACAAGCTTAATAAAGACTAAAAATATTTGGAAGTATTCAGAATGAGAAAATTGAACCTTGTTCAAATAAGCCATTACTAATGGATCAGTAGTATTTGTTGGGGCTGCTGAAAAGGTATATCGATCCGTTATGTCCAGTGGAAGATTCTCAATCATATCTGCAATAATCTTTACAAATTTATTGACAAAGAAAATATTAATAATGAATGACTAATGGCAATCTTTTTTTTTTAAAAAAAAATTAGGTACCTTCAAATCACTCCAGTTACACAAAAAATATAATCCATCCACGCGAGATAACAATTCGAATTTACCCTAAGAAATAAAGATTATTTTCCATCAACCGCACTAACATTTTGTTCGATTTATTCTTACCAATAATTCCGAAAAACTATGAGGAGTTGTGAGTTGATGAGAGAAAAGTTCTACTTGTTCTACTTTTGGTTGTAATCCTGCCATCTATAATTATAGAAAGATTCATTTTGGCAACAAGTCTCTTAACTTTTATCAAGTATCAATCAAGAACATGATTTACCCACCTCTAAATTTTGAACCGGCGCCGCCATTGCTTTATGTAAATAGTTGAGATCAGCATTCATTAATGTGGTGACTTCGCCAGAACTATTTGCAGTGGAAAATCGGCCAGCACGCCCCGCAATTTGTTTAATATGTGGAAACGGTATGAGACATTGTTTTCTCCCATCCCATTTTTGGACTGTTTCGAAAACAATACGCTTTATATTTCTGTCATTTTAATTGAAATATTTTCAGTCCCTAAACAACAGCACACTTCCTTCTACACAAAAATATTCCTAATTCTCACAGATTTAAGCCCATTCCTACAGCATCACTTGCAATAAGAACATCATAGCCACTTTCAGGATCATTAAATAATCCTGCTTGCATAGATCTCGTCTCTATCACCCGAAAGAACAAACACATTAAACATTTTCTTCATAAATCCGAATATATATCTCTCTCACATAATATATAGTTACCAGGCGGTAATCCTCCATAAACGACTGCACATCTAAATCCAGTTTCTTTTTCAATTTCCTGTTTAATAGCAAAAATATTCTTTCTAGAGAAAGTGACTACACAATCTCCTTTTCGAATATTTTTAACACTTCCGTTCAGCGAATACTCTGCTACTGTTAATGGAGTAAGACGTTCATACGTTCGAACTTCAACATCCTCATTGAATGAGGCACATATTGATTTTATTAAGGGTACCGCGGAAGTTTCCCCACATAAATGAATTTCTTTAGCTTGTAAGCCTAAATAAATGCTCGTAAATATATTAAATAATCCAAAATCTTTTTATTTTCCTTTGATTATATTGATATTAATTACCCAGCAAAGCTTGTGTCCAAGCCCAACCACGTGCTGGATCTGAAATCAATTGAATTTCATCAATTACTGCGACATCCAGTTCTTTATTTAAATTTGCCATCTCTACAGTTGAAGCTGTCAATGGAACTTCACCGGGCATTTCACGCCTTTCTTCTCCGGTAATTAAATTACAAGGGATTCCTTTCTGATTCATCCTTTCATAAATCTCATGAGCAAGTAGACGTAAAGGGCCGCAGTAAATGCCTGAACTTGCACCTTCTAGTCGCTTGAGAGCATGATATGTTTTTCCCGAATTTGTAGGTCCAACATGCATTATTATTTTCCTAATTTCCCATCAAATCGATGATTAATTTATAACATATATTAGCTATCCAGTAAATGATGGGAAAAAAAGATACCGTTGCATTGCTCTAGCAGCAGGATGCCAGTCCGCGGGATATCGTAAGTCACTAAGCTGCCGTAATGAACTAAATGCCTCTAGTTGTTCACTCTCAAGATAATTTTGAGAAAACTCATAAAACGCAGACATCAACAATTTATCAATCCCATCTATTGTTTCATCAAATATAACAATATATAGAAAATAAAAAAACATCATATATCAATGCAATTTAACTCTATCAAGCGGATAACTAACCTACCCCATTTTCTTCAAAGGCTGCTTTTGTAGCTGATATCTCACACCGCCCAATTCTTCCTTTACGAACAGCATTAATGAAATCATCTACAGCTTTACGAAAATTTTTTCCTCGTAGCTTCATTTCAGAGGCTCTCTGTCTCACATCAGTAGAATCTTGAAAGTTTATTAACCGTTCTTCCAACAGACTATCTGACCATTTATCTTCTTGTGGTTTTCCAAGTAAATTTCTTAGCCCCAATCTATCGATCCAGCTTACATTCCCCCCTGTTGTCGTTCTCGATAAATGTGTACTTGTAGAAAACGCGGCAACTGTTCTCTCCAACAGAAACGGAGTTCTTATACATGGGGAAATTCTGTTCGACTGAAGCTTATATGAACCTGACGAAAAGTAATAGGTTCTGACAATATCTCGAAGCACTCGAGTATGATTAATTTTATAGCCAGCTGCACGTTTATTGAGGAACATTTGGTTTTATCAATAAAAGTAAAAAAAATCATTTTTATTTGATTTTTCGTCACGTCATTTTTTATGACTCATACAAAATTGAAATATTCCCAGCGCTAAATAATGATCACGTGCCAAAACTTTACATGATAGAATTTACCATTTACAGATCATCGAGCATTCTATTAAATTTGGCTATTTCATCTTCTATCCTAGAATTTTCGCTAATGATATCATCTTCTATCGTAGAATCTTCGCTAATGATATTATCTTTTATCGTAGAATCTTCGTTAATGATATTATCTTTTATCGTGGAATCTTCGTTAATGATATTATCTTCTACAATAATGATATTATCTTCTACAATAATGATATTATCTTCTACAATAATTATCTTCTCCATCGAAATAATGGTCATATTCAACGAAATTTTCTTCAATCATGCTATGCACCATCTCGATTTCACATTGTTCATCCAAATACATTTTTTTACATCTCACAACATGAATGGTTCCATGCTCGATAACGCCTTGATCGATAAAATCATCCAAAAATTTTTTGAACTGCGATATATGTTTCCGCCGATCTTCCCAAATACTTATTTCTCGCACGGAAGGATGATGCTCGACAAGTCCCTGAATCAGTGCTTTTTTATAGGTCATGGTGGTGTGATTTACGGGTATACCTGTGACTTTACCTTTGAATTTTTCTGATAATTGAGATTGTTGATATAACAATTCCCATTGGATTTTTGCATCATCCGGTTTCAAAGAGATCACGTCAAAGAAAAGGTTTTGTGGTGATAGGATAGATTTAATTCTTTCGTGAAAAGTTGAATACAGTCGTCCAGTTAACAGAACAGTCAATGCATTTGGATCAGATACTGATTGCCGCACATAAGATACGGTTGTTTCATTCCACCAACTGCGCCATGAAATTTTCTCTGGAAATGAAGTAGTATCCAGGCTGCGTGAATCTTGGAACCAGCCTTTTCCAATTAAGTTAACATTCATGAGTCGTGCAATCATTTGACTATCCCATAGGTTTGGATTGGGAAGAGGCGAACAAAATAGTGTCCCATCGAAATCAAATATATTGATTTTTGTGATCTGCGGATTTTCTTCTTGAACTATCAGTGAACTCTGTGAAGATGATGTTGATGAAAATCTCTCGTCATTAATGTTATAATTGTTGTTTTGTAAATATACGTCTTGATTATAATTAGGATTTATTTTTCCTCGGTTATTGCCTCTTGAATTCTCAAAGTTGAAGTCTGTAACAATTTTAGTTTTGTTGAATGAAATTCGACCCGGCGTCGATATTGGTTGAGTCTCTAAATCAACTAAATCTGATTCTCTGTATTGATGTGTATAATTCTGTTTGTTGTTTCTCCACCTTTTGGCAGTATGCCAATGTGCACGACCACCACCATCGTTATTATAATAGCGTCTCGGCTGTTCCCCAGTAAACTCATTTATCCTTACTTGTTTCTTCCGATAATCTCCATAAAGAGAGGTTTTCTTTCTTGTATAACGAGCATCTTGTCTGGTAGACTGCTGCTCCTTACGATCCAGAATATTCCTATTGTCATTAATATTGTTCTGCATTTGAGAAAAGCTATTTATTTGCCATTTGAAAGCTTCCTGCCCTTCTTGCTGGCCCGGCTTAATGCTATTACTGTTTTTATTAACGTCGACCATTTTCCTAGTCAGATTTGCAATTTTCAATTTTCTTATCAAGCTCATGTGAATCAAAAACACTGATGCATTAAATTATTCGCACACGTTTATTAAATAAAAATACACAAGGCACTAAGATTAAAATAAAGTTAATTCCAGGGAATGATCCACGAATTTGCTAAATAAATCTATAATAACCGAATTTTTCCAATAAGTTCTGACCATTTCGTAAGATGAATGCATTAATTTAATTATTTCTAATCGAAAGCATTTAAATATTTCTTGTAATTGATATTAATAACACAAATCTAATAAGCTAAAACCGGATTTTCAGTATATCGAGAAAAACAGCAACTACACAAATCTGATGTAGCAAAAAAAAAAAATGAAGATAAAAAACTTCTTGCCTCCTCGTCTCCTCTTCAAAAGTCCATATCTACATGCTGTTGCAAATTAGCCACGGATCCACCGGTAATATTCGACGAGACAGACAAGGTCGGAGGCATTGATTGTTGTGGATGATGGGGGTGATGAAGTGAATCATGATCCGGGATTAGAAGAGTATCACCGCTTATATTTGCAGCTTTAGCTTTAGCTAATTCTTCCTATAAAAAATATAGATTATTAAATCAAAAGCCAAATCCCCAAACTTCAATCTTATGATGTATGTATATCGAGTAAACAAAAACCCTCAACTTACCACAAATTTTTGTCTTAAATGTCCAGTCAACCCAATCAAATCATTAAGCGCCTTAGCCATCATAGTTTCCGGAGCAGTCTCTTTGACAGTCTGCACTTTTACCGTTACGTGATGTTCTAACGGATGTGGCATTTTGTAACCGGCGAATGTGACTTGATTCTCTTTTAAAAGTTGACTTTTTATTCAGAGTTATTATCATGGGAGCATAAATGATTATGTTTGGTAAACCACAAACTATTGAGGTACTTTACTATCGGATTAAGTTTCCAATTGTGTGATCCTCTTTTTCTATCGTGAACGTTGCCGCTTTTTCAACGTTAGGGTCCGGAACATATGAAATTCTAAGATAGAATTTTTATAATTTATTTGATTAGCATGGAGGTAGCAACTTGAAACCACACAAAAGAACGTGAAAACGAAAAAAAAATGAAAAACTAAATAGATAGATTTTTGATTTGAATTCTCAGGAGTTGAATAGAGTAGAAACAAACTTTTTAACGCCATCAGGAAGAATGAACAACTCGAATCGATCTGGTGCATTCATTGTTTAAATATCGACGTGAAAAATGGAATCTTTTTAAAATGTAATTAGTCGATCAAGATTGAATTTTTTTTGACATTTTTTACGTTCAGAAACGTGTTATAACCATGAGCACAGAAATTTCTTTTTCGTCAAGTGAAGCAGTAGTAAAAGCCCTAAAAAGTAATACAATCTCAGATAACGAGAAAATAAAAATAGCCAATAGTATATGGAAAGGGAAACAAGAACACGAATTCGACACGTTTCCTCATAAAGAAGTCTTTTTAGCAGAATGGGTTAGTTCGAGTTTAGTAAAGTCTGTTGGAGGGAAGGCTGTTGGTGAGCAACAACTAGGGTGCGTTAACAGCTTCTTAATAATGTTTGTGAAAATTATTAATGAAAATAATTATGCGCACATTTTAAAATAAAAGTTTTGAAGGGACACAACAACAAGAACAACTAACATCGCCAGCATATTTAAATCAAGAGTATTGGATCTTGATACAAGATATTCTTGAATTCATTACGAGAAAATGGCAAACTGCGGTAACTCATGAGATTAATTATATTGGCGCATCTGAATCAGCGTACACGATTTTACAAATTTTTCCCGGTGATGACGGGGACTGTGAGAAAATATCATCGTCGTTATCATCTGTACATTCAGAAAACATTACAAACACGATTAGAACAATCCGAATACTTGCAAACTCTTTTAATAAAATACCCATAACAATAGCATTTTCGGCTGTGGTGAATTCTATTGCTTCATCTTTAGATAATGCGAAAAGAATTCTAGATTCAAATGACGTGTCAACGAAAGCAACAGAAATATTGAATATCTTTGAACAGTCTTCCAATCTATTTCAAATAGTTATGCAGTGTTTTGACCATTTTACAACAGCATTCTCGATAAATTCATTAGATATTACTATGTATAGACCAACGTTAGATCATTTGACTACTCTGGGACTGAATACATGTAACCTTTACCGATCGTTAATTCCCTTTGTGGATCGTTCCTTTGACACCATTTTTAGAAAATCACAGAAAGAATCACGATTGGCAAATTTGCTTATATCAGAGGCAAAAACGAAAACAGTGCGGGCCGTTAAAGCGCACGAGCAGAAGAATGAGTTGGGAGAGACGTCGTACAATTACGAGAATGTTATGTGTATTTCTGATAATCAGAAAATTATCACGATAAAAGATGCAATACATACTGGCAACGTATTGAAACAGAAAAAACGAAAAAGGCGTGATGAACTCGACGGTGGCAATGATGAGGATGAAAAAGTAACACCATATGAAGTTGCATCTGTTTCATCTTCAATTAACAATTTTGACGCCGGAATTTTTGATGACGAGGATAATGATTCCTTGCTATCGAGTAAATTGATTTCTTTGCGGAAATTGATTCTAGAATTTTCGTCGATTGTATTGAGGTCTTTAGAAAAAATTTTGCTAGCTATTTCAAATCCCAAAAAGGTGAACTGAAACTTTGATACTTATATTTATACAAATATGTTTAGACATATGTTAATATTTTCTATTGCTTATAGGCATATAACATAGTCTTTGGGAAACTTCTGAATGAATTACTACAAGCACGTCATGTATTACTCATAATAAAGGAAAAGTCTTTTAAAGAGGATGAAGAAAGTGATAAAAATGAAGAAATCATACTTGACAAGACTATAAAACATATTAATCGCATTATACGATTTGGACTCTTTCAACAAGAACATCTTTTAGAATATGTTACTATCGAACGTGATGAATCGTGGAAATTGTCTTTAGAACATAAGACAGATAAGAGCAATAACGATGAAAAAGCGCCAATAGCATCCGGTTATCAGAAACTTTTTTTTGACAGGATCTATAATATGATGCAAAATTCATCAATTGATCGCGACGAATTATCAAATCCTGTCGTTGGTATATTTATGTGGAAATTTTTTAATGGTTTTTTGTCTCTTATATTTATAATTGATTATACTTTAATTATTTAGTAATGCAGGCCTTCCCAATGCTGTTTCAGCTTTTTTTCGAAGAGATACGCGAAAAAAATGAATCGAATGATAACAATTCACGCACTCCGATAAAACACTTGTCATTAGACAAACTAAGAACTTTTGTCTTCAATTTTTTCGTGGAATTATTGGCATTATTGAATCAAATAATCTCATTGGCAATTTCTGGAAAGGAACAAATGATTACTTTGCAAATAGCATTAGGAACGCAAAACCAATTAATTTCATTACTTTTACATTACAATATCTATCGGCCATCCAACGATGAAATTTCGCAGCGACAATTTGTGTTCTTACAAACTTTCATGGAACGTCTTATGAATTTAGCAAATTTGTACTCTAGAGGTAATAATAGATTCGTTACTATTTATTCATTTAGTTTTGTAATCTCATGACATAGTATATTTTAGAGGGAATGATACAGTCGTCGATTTTCAAAACAATAAACTATGTTTTACAACTCGATCTTCGAGTTGTCGATCCACATATGGAAAAATTATGTGAATATTTATTGTTGGTAGGTTGTTTTTATCGTCAAATTTTATTGTTGTTAAAAAATTTTTTTAATTTATAAACGATCTTGTTATTCTTTTTGCAAGCCATCGCTTGATAGTGATAATGAATGTAGATCTTTAATAATTACGTTTATAGAGATTTATGCAAAATCGCGCGAAATGGAACGATTCTTACAATGTATTTTTAACGGTTTAAAAACCATGAACGCCAATGTTGTCACGTTACTACGAAAACCCCTATACTGTAGAGAATGCTTAAGCCAGTTAAGATTAAGTTTAATGTATTGTTAACAATTATTGAATACTGACCACAGCTTATCTTTTAAAGATTTTCGAATAATGCAGCGATCCATGTATCAATCGCTCAAGCACATGAAATCATAAACATTTTCATAAACGAATTAATTGGTACCTACTTCTCGGAGAAAATAGCGACAACGTCATACCAGAAATCGAATCCCAGGAAAAAAAGGAAAATCAACTCAGAAAACGAGCATTTATCACCAATCAATGACGATAATAATACAGCAGACCTACAAGTCCTTCCTTCTCCTGGACCGTTAATAATATTATTTATTCACTTTTTGAAAGTTTTTAAATCTGCTGCTTCTTCTCGATTTAACGAACGATTAAAAGAGCCTCTTCAAAAATTATTTGATGGGTTTATTTCGCCTGTGTTATTATCTCAAAGTTTCGACACAATTCACGAAACATTTCTTGATCGAATAATCGTACCTACTTTATTTTTACATTGTTCGTTGGTGGATTTGTTTTCAGTCTCTTATTTGAAAATATATTCTGCTAAGAATTTTGTTGACGGATTATTTGAGACTGTGTCAAACATTAAAACACCCAAAGTGAAGCTCATTATGGTGTGTATGAATTTAGTCCAAAATTTCTCCTTATCAAATTTTAACTAATCTTAAAAAATTTTTTATAGAATAAAAGTATTTTTCAACATATTTATCTTACTAATAGCAATAATTTGTCGGTACAAAGTCAATGGGCCACAAATAAAGAAGATAATATTATTAATAATGATAATAACAAAATTTCATCTCAAGCCCTTATCACGACTGTTCTCGAAACTTTATTAAATAATTCAGAAGATACTGCCAGTTTAGATTTCTCGTGGACCGGACAACTTGTTGACCTTACCGAAGATAATTTTATGATCGCGAATGCCAAACTTATAATTAATGATTGGTTGGATGTTGTATGGTACGAAATTTTGATTTCATAATTTAAATAAATAATTCATTCTTTTCATTTTTTTAATCAATTCGCTCTTTCACAGTAATACATGCCAAGAAAGCGAATTAGTAAATATTGTTAGATTTATTATAAAGATCTTCACTAGTAGTTCAATAGATGGAAAGAATTCGCAGGGTTCTATCAATCCTCAGGAAGTGAATCTACATAATATATGCGTAGAATTAGCTCGCTCAGCACAATTTTTCGAAATATCGAATATAAGAGGTATTTCAAACTTTCGCATATCATTTCTTTCATAGTTTGCTAACCTTTCCAAACTTTTTTCGTGGTTTACTATATGAAAAGATGTATTCATCAAAACCTTCTTCGAAGAATTATTTGGTTTCGTTAAACAACAAATAAAGGACAAAAAGACATTAAAACAACAAAACATCACCGAGTTGCTCGACTTTCTTTTACCAATAATTTCACACCAGGCTATTGTTACAACACCCAATTTTTGGAAATCATTGCTGCCGTTCTTTAAACCAGATTTACCAATAACTCCAGCTGAATCTTCGTTGTTTCCAATTACCAAGGTCTCTGCGTATTTCCGCACTTTGCTCATATTTCCAATTGAATACTTTGAGAAGAGAGAAAAAGACGCGATATTGGCAGTGGCCTTCATCGTCGAAAAATTAATTCTGTCCTTATTTCGAGCTAGAAATTTAGCCGATTTGAGAGATATATTAGAATTTAGTTTGGTTTGTCGGAGTTTGACGAATAGAATTGTTAAAATTGGGAATAGAGAAAATATTCTTGTAAGTGAGATTTTATTCTTCGAGGAAGTTGATTTTTTTTGATAGCAAGGCTTTTTTGTAAATTTAATATGAATAAAACAGCGGCATTATGGAGAATTCCTTGAATGGTGGATGACTTCAATTACTTCTCACAGTCGACAAATAAGTGAAATGAGACAGAATTCGGATGGATCTGATGATGGAAATATTGTAACCTCACTTCATTCGAACTTAGTTCAAATAACCAGCGAAGTTTTATACACAACCATTTAGTAAGTTGTAAATTTATGCAATTTCGAAATTTTTATAGCAATTTTTCTTAATAATCTCATGGTAAAAAAAGTCAAGTTCTAAACCGATCACGCGATAAAGATGTTCCATTCAATCATGAATACTGGAAGGGCGTAATCAGTATATTCAAGACACTTTCAAGAATTTCTTTGTCAATCGACCAATTTTCAAGTTGGATAAATGCTGTAAATGAAAAAGAACTAGAGTTGGAAAATAATGTCGATTTGCGATTTCTTGGGGATTTTTTGGAAGCTTGTATGGATTACTTTGAAAAGAATAACAGGTATATTATTTGTCCGCGTTTTTTTTTTATTATTTTCTTGCCTTTTTAATTACATCGAAAATTTTATTAATCTCGAAGATCAACTCGAATATACAACCGCGAGCAAAAAACCATTACAGAAAAGAAAATTTGGGATTCATTTTCTGGATTGTGCGCCTCATTAGAACAAGACCTATTGAAGATTCTCGACCTTTGGGTTAATAATACAACAAACAATTTGAAAAACGATGATAGAACGAATCAAAAAATATGGGCACAAAAATCTGCACAAATGAAAAATGTACTAAGGGTTTACTCTATTTTACTAAGGCATCATCGTATTTCGATTGCACATGAAATAAAGAGCAATAATAATAATGGTGTTTCATCGGCACTCGGATTGTTGCCACGATTCTTGACTTTACCCATTCCCTTACTCCGAATTGCTATTGAGCCTATTTATAATAATATAACAGAAAAAGATAATTTGAGATTGCTCTACTCATTTAACTCAGAAATAGTTGAAATTGCCACGACACTCTTTGCATTGGCTTTGAAATTTTTTGCGGATTTTGATCCCCCTGTAAGTGATGTAACTATTTCCAAAATTATGGCTTTGTTTTGGGTGATGCTGAAGATTGTTCATGATAAAGGTAATAAGTCACTATTGATTAACTTCTACCAGTTAACGTTTTCAATGTTTGGATTACAAATACTCTTTATTATATATTAGTTCCTATTGCAGAACACCTAAAATTTCTATTCGGCAATTTTATTCAGAAACTGTCTAATGAACAATATGAATCCATTATCTTGTGTTTGTTGCAAAAGCTGGGTCAATTGTCTTATTCATTTAACAGCAATGTGGAACAAGAAATTACCGTGTTTCTCGTCATCGTTGATTTGATATTTAGAGAATCGAAACAAGGTGATTTTAAGATTTCTAATTTTCGCTTTCCTTAAAAGATGAATTATTTTGTAATTCCTTTTGGATACAGATCAAAAGAAACAATTACGAAAAGATTTCACGCAAACGTTGAGTGGATTGTGCAGTATTGGACAGACTACTAAATTATTGAATAATCGAATACGTTTGCTTAATGTATTGGCTTCGATTGTTGCTAATAAGGTGTGAGCTCTTTGACTAATGAATCTGTGAAGCATTCCCTTGATCATTTTTTATTAATTTTTATTATTACATTGTTTTTTGGACAAGGATTTTCATCTAAAAGGAAATGATGTCTCATTAGTGTTATCCGCATCAGTTACGATAATGTCCTCGTCTTTATCATCAACGAATAGAGAAAATACAGACGCAACCAAAAAAAATACTAAAAAAGACATCTTTGATGCGACATGTTGTCTGTTGCACAACTTAATTAGATACAATCGCGAACAACTAGCCAGCTCTTTCCCTTCGTTCTTTGCTATCGTGCAAAAATTAATTCATTGCTTCGGATCACCATCTTCATATTTTTCATATCATCGAACATCAATATTATCATCTAAAAAATCCAGGCAAAACATATATAATGACGGTCAAACCCATAATGGTGTTCACAATAATAATGGTGAAGAACCGTTATCAGTCTTAGACGCGGAGAAACTATCCAGATTACTAATGATATTATCAAAAAAACAACTAAGCACTCAACAACCAACCAATAATGATCATGAACGAGTTGATCCAACTAGCGCTTCCTCACAAAAAGTGTTTGCAAAATATATACCATTTGTGATTGTAGAGTATCTCGGAGCACAAGTCGATGGCCGATTCTCGCCGCAAATACGAGACGCACTAAAAAGTGGCGTGTACGCATTACTCGATATGTGTGGCGAACGTGAACGTGATTTGATTATGGTTGCGTGTGGTAAAGTCGGGAAAGAAATTTTTAAAAATTTGTGGAAGGAGTACCAGAATGAGTGGAAATATACTGGGCGCGGGTGAATGCGGTGTTTTGTTGTAGCGAGTTTTTTATTTGTGTATATAGCTTTTGAACCATTGAATTAAAAATCCAAGCACATTAAGATATTATTCAGTGCATATCTCGGTTGTCCGTCTATAAAATGAAAAAGTCGCAACTTAGTGGCCATAAACAAGTCGTACACGAGGTTAATTATATGCTTTGTAAATGAATATAGATTTCTATAGGTTTTTTTAGTTATCTAGGCCCAGATTTACAAAAATAAAGTAAAAAAATTAATGGTACATATAATAAAGATTCTATCTATAATAACAATAAAAACACATTGCTAATTACACCTGACTTAAAAGAAATAAAACAAACTAAATATTAGAGGTTAATATTAGTTTTCTCGCAAACTTCAATATTTCCGGAGCTAAAGAACACGTTCAATGATAGTATTTACCTCAAATAATGCACATCTCCAAAATGTATCGAATACATGTAGATAAATATTATAACTCTCTCTACTCCCGTCTCATTAAATTCTTTTTACACTTTGATATCGTGATCGGGACTTCTTTATTTTTTGAGCCAGACAAACCGCTTTTCACCGTCCGACACGAGCACACTGGGACTCCTTCCGCTGCATCTACGCGCATTACATCGATACCGCCGGTTAGGACGGCTACGCGTGGAAAACGTGCGTTCACGAGGTCGTTTGCGAACTATAGAGTGCAAATTTGAGTTAATATTTCGTATTAGTTTCTATGTAAACATCTAATATTTAAAATCTACCCAACCTGTGGTCCGGAATCTCCGCGCTTGGCCAATACTACATGATACTTTTTCTTTTGTTGTCGTAGTGTCGGTGCAACGTGGTCTAGTTGAGCGGGATTCACGTTGAAACTTAGGGGGAAATGACCACGGTTGAATCTAAACAATAAAGTGAATAAACTAATTAAACATTTGAAGATTATATAAATTAGATATAAGAAATTCTTCTTACTCGTCCTCCCCACGTGTATCGATAACTAACACATAATTCTTTAATTTCACCAAATCTTTGAGCGATATTCGTGGAGCAAGTTCAGCTTTTTTTACTTCTACAGGAATCGGTTGTTCCCACCATCGTTGATGATTAGGATGATCCTATGTGCAAGTCAAAAAGAAAATTAAATATTATAAAATAAAATTTATATTTATTATTCGAAACACATACTGCAACTTGAAAATCTTCATCTTTCGACTGATGGTGCGGTTGCGAATTTGGATCATGCACCCGATAAACAACCGACGGTGGCGTAACTTTACACATCGACAATGCGGATTGAATACACTTTTCGATATCAACCTCGGGAAACGATTCCGAGATCATCGAGATGCAATCATTGAATTCCGAAGCGAGGAGCACATCACGAAGTTGTCGCAGTATCGAGATGCCGGCAAATAGAGGAAGTGAAGAGGGGCCGACGAGTAGCTTATCCCAAAGGTGGTATGTTTTGTCTAACGGAAATACGTCTATATATTGTGAAATTTTTTTGTTATTGAAAGCATATTATCGATAGATAAAAGGCACGTAATTAAGGTGTCCTTATGAAATCAATTTTTCTTATACTTACGTGTGAATAACGTCAGAAACCACGGAATAGCGTATAAATCGGGCACAAACCCGATTCTGTTTAGATGACTTGATAATTCCGGATCATGAAATGACAAAAGATGCCGAAACACAGCAAGATATTCTTGTATCACGGCTGAATTGTCAAACAAAAACACATTTTTGAGAAATTTTGGGATAAACATTTGTAGACAATTGAATGCTAACGCTTCATCGTTAAAGTTTTGTGTAAGAAACGTTGCACATATTGAATCGAGACCTGGATGGATATATTGTTTAAATGATTAATATTTGTAATATATTTATCGATTCCAGAATGTCAGATGCTAAATTACCTTGCCAATAGACTAAGGATTTATTGTTTGCCGTGACAAAACATTTCAAGAGTCTTCTTAGTTTCTCGTGGCCTACGGGAGAGGATAATAGTTGATGGTATTGATGACACCTTGGTACATCTATATTCAAATCAAAAAAAATACAAATTTAACTTAATTAAGAGATTTAACTTATATAAACGATATCAAAAAATAATTAAATCAGAATTACCAACATCAATCTACTTGAACAATAACAAATCATAAAAATAATTAATAGTAATTTCCATAAAAAATAATCTCAAGAATACACCAACCTGACGATCCGTTGTATTTTCCTTCTCAGATTCTTTATCATAAGCATCATACACCGCCTGATAATCGCCCGTCACCCCCAGTATAGCAGCCCATATTTTCCCGCGAAGAAAAGGTGGAATATCAACCTTTGCATGATGCATAATATCGTCGCGTGACGTAGGATATTCCCGGAGTAACTCGCTGAACAATGAAACACGCTGAAATTGATAGCCGACATCTTTCTCGCGGATAAGCAACGGTAGTTTTACATTGTTTGAAGTGGGCGGAGATGAATATTGTCCGTTTGTGTATGTTGTGGTGTTGTGGTTATTTGAATTAATACCATTTGTACCATTAATGTTACTATTATTGTGATGATTATAGTTATTACTATTATTAATATTATTGATATTATTAATATTATTAATATTATTATTATTATAATTATTATTATTATTTTCATCATCTTCATCATAATCATCATCATCATCATTATCATCATCATAATTATTATTATGATTATGATGATGATTATTATGATGCTGATGATGATGATTATTATTGTTATTATTATTATTAGAAATAGAGGAATTATTTATATGGTTATGATAATAATTATTATTGTTATTATGTGAATTAACTTTGTACGAATTATTAGAAGGTAAATGTTGATCAACAAACTTATCATCGGAATTATGATTACTACTATTAAAATTGGTATTATTATCTTCAGTCATTGAATCAACCAAGAAATTCATATCATCAGTATCAACCACCAGGAAATAATCAGTGTCCCATTCAAATGATTCTCTATTTGGTCCAGTCGCCACTTCTAGTCGTTGTCGTAGCTCTTTTAGTGACAGCGTATAAATTGTATCTGAGAAGAGAAAAGCAGTGTCCTTTGATGTGCCTTCTTCTTTTCCGTCGGATACTTTGACGGTTCTTGGTATTCGCTCGATTGGAGGCGTGCTAAGTAGTAATCCTCTTTTAGCCAGCTCGGACTCTACGTCACCGCCTGCTAATTTCCAAAAATAGTATATTTGTGATAATGGAACTCCATAAAGAAGGTCATTCTTCTTTGTTGTCATTTTATTGCTATCTTTATGATTATCATTAGTTGCTATCGTTATTGGATTGTTTTCTTCGTCAATGTCTAATAGTTGAGACTGAAGAAAAGGTTTCTTCCACCAACACTTATTAACAATAGATTGTTGTTGATGCTGTTTATGAATTGGGTTAAAAAAATCGTGGGATAATAATTGTTCCGGCGTACATCTATTCGACACATTCACTTCCAAACATGCCCGAATAAATTGCCGAAATTCCAAATATTCTGGATCCTCCTCTTCGGAAGAAGAGGAGCCCTGAAGAAATTCCACTATTGCCTCGTTGATCCCAAGTTGACACACCGAGAAGCTATCCCATACTTGATTTCTGTCATCACCATTTTCATCGTTTTTCCCGAGTGATTGTAATTTCCATAGTGACGTGAATATTTTCTCAATATCTTTGTCGTTTCCTTCCCAAAATAAAGACTTTGTAAATATCTCGGCAAATATCACTCCTATTGACCATACATCAATCTATTTTTTATTAGGATGATTGCTGTTATTATTATAGTAAATTTTAACATTCAAAAAATATTATTATCTGGCTGACCTTTCCACTGCTATAAGGTGATTCTAATTTATAAATCGCTTCAGGAGGTAAATAATGAGGATAGCTTTGAAAAAATTAATAATTATTAATTAATAACTGAATTAATTGTATAGTTTCTGACGCCATGCTTACCCAATAGGAAAATCAACGTCAGCACCCTCACCAGTCATATAAAAAAAACCATAATCTGCTAATTTCACATTCCTCTAAATTTATAACATATGTACATGAATCATATAAACAAAAAAATAATACTTTTCAAAATAATTATGCAATTTACCTTTGCATCCAGTAATATATTACGCGGTGCCAAATTATGATGTATAATATTATTATCATTCAAGTAACTTAACGCGTTCAGAATTTGAAATGCCCATTTTCGTATTTCATCAATGCATACACTAAAAACCACCGTCATTTAATAATGATACTTGTATAATCATAGTTCCTCCTTCGCTAATAATAAAATCCAGCTTAAGAATATATATGATACCTTGAAATATTTGTGACTTCATCTTCGGGTTGACTATATAATTTTCCGAAATTATCATTATGATATTCAAAAATCACAAATAATCGATCTATATAGATATCCCATTATTCTCGTTAATATTTTTGTTATAAATGTTTTTAATTAGAAAATGTATTCCAATGTACCATGTTTTCCTTTGACGATTTCAACATAATCACATAAATTAGGGTGCAAAAGTGTCTGCAGGTATGAATAGAAAAGAGAAACTGATAAATTTCTTCAATGCAAAATAACTCTCAAGAATCTAACAAACACACACCAATAAATGAAAAAACATGAAAACTACTTGCCTTCAACAGCTGAAATCTACCAACAATTTCAGTAGTAGCAGGTGTCAACGGAAGTCCATTCTGTCCAACCTTATCTTGAGTTCGTGTAGTCGCGAAAAAATTATCAACTCCTAATTGAACGTCTTTTTGAACATGTATACTCAAATCTTTGTCGGTAGCAAATGTTGCCATTACTCATAAATGCGAAGTTGTATTTATACGAACATACTCTTTTTTCTTTATTGTTGTTATCTCTATTTGGTGTAATACAGCGTGAAGAGTGCATCATAAATAAATATGCATAATCTAGAATTCGAATAAACTTGTTCAAATATTCGTGAATATTTGGTTATTTGAAAACTATTCTTTTTAAATGAATAACAGTAATAATAGTTATATGACCAAAATTAAAAAATTGTTAGCTATGCATTTTTCCTTGATTGGTGATTATTATGATGATCAAAAAAAAAGATTAGAAAGTTTTACTTGAACTCATTTTATATATATTTGCAATTGACGACATGATAAGGCATCTTGATAGTAAGTTTTGTTGATATTGCATAGCTTATAATTTTTACTAGAGATTAAGGAAGGACCAAGCTTTAATATCTAGAATTTTCTTCAAGTTTTCACGAATGAACGTCGTCTTCAACAACAATCGTCGTTGAGTCTCTTGAAGGAAACACGTCTTGGTATTGAGGGTGCTTTTTGGTTACGTAAACTATTACAGAATTCTGGGAAAGAGCCTGCCACGGCTGCCATAGGTGGAATACCAATAGGTTTAAAGAACGCCATCGAAAAGGAATTAGGATTATTAAAGTATTATTACTAGTTTTCACAAATTAATATCTGTAAATAGAAATTTAATACTTATAAATAACAAATTCACTTGTAAATCATCAATTACTAGATCATTCGGGATAATTCCATTTTTCGTTTTTAATGGGCTCAGTGTAATTCGTAAAGATAAGCCTTTTTCGACAGAAGATACCAGACCGAGCAAACGTGCACAAGCTTGGGATGCTTATGAAAAAGGAAAACATGATCAAGCATATAATACATGGGCATCATCGGGCTTCATTCATCAACCTGATCTTCTCTATTTCGTTTTTAACGTATTAAAAGATAATGATGTTGAATTTATGCGAGCCCCATATTTCGCTTGGGGGCAGGTATTAATCTTTTATTCGTTCTCAATCCATAATATACCTAGAGAAAGATCAAGTGAATTGGAAATTTTTTTTATTATGTCCTAATATTATTCTAATATAATGATTATTTTTTTTGAAATTATAGTTGGTCTATTTGGAACGTCATCCTAAAGGATTCATTCATGCCATATATGGAGGATCAGAATTGTTAATGTACGATGTTGAGAAAGTTATCGTTAATTTAGATTTGGAGGTCTGCGCTTATCATCGCGGAATTCCTTCCGTCTTTTCAATTTTTTTATTTTAATTCTGCTGCTTTTATATTCAATATAATTCTCATGTATAACTTGTTGCTGCTTTCTTAACTATTATTATAATACAGAAGGGAACTTGTAACTGGCTCAGCAAAAAAACAATTTTGAATGATCTTACGATATCTGATGAGCAATTTCTTGATGTTTGTATATTAGCTGGATTTGAATATTGCACTACATTCCCACCACTTAATACCGAGTTTTCCAGTTTCACTTTTAAAAGCGTACACGACCTGATTAAACAATACAAGACTGGATTTAATGCGGTACAAAATTACGCAGATCATCCAGGAGTAATAAAACAAAATTATATGGACATATTCTGTCGAACTAGATGTGCGATAAAGTATCATTTAGTGTTGACTGATGAGGGGAAAGTTGAGCCATTAAATTCAGATAATGCGCCCAGTGATATACATGAATTTATCGGCTATCGATTACCAGATGAGATTTATTACTATTTATCAAAGGGATTAATGTCGCCTCAGGTTTGAATATAGAATCTCCTCTTTTCGTTGGTTGTATTGATTAATTTATTAATTTCTAAGATTATCTTTTTATATAGGTTATTAATACATTGATCTCAGGCGTGCTTATCGAAAATCCTCCTTTGTGTAATGGTGATACTCAAGAATATCGAAGATTTCTCAATGAATTACTCGAGTTGCGCGCACAAGCCATGGGTTTACTCACTCAACCTTTACACCAATTTTATCAATCGAGAAAGGTTGTAAGCCTCTATTGGTTTGAGCCAAATGCCGAACATGTTTTAAGTCATAACGTAGCACCGAGTGTACATGAAATATTGAGTACATGGAATGTGTTGGGAAGAGGATTAGAGGATGAGAAAAAAGCACAAAAGGTTGATATTTATTTTCTTTTCAAAGTATGCTGCTGTATTAATAATTATCTATCTCTGATATGTATTCATTTTTTCTTTGTTGTATATACACTTTTTTCATTTAGACTTCTATTATTGATTTTGCTTTTTGTCTAAGAGCAACAGCCACTGATGATCAAGCGGCAAAAACTATTATGCCGAAAAATAATGACAAACTTATTGAAACTAGAGAAGAAATTTTGGCAAATGTTCTATGGGAATTGCTACAATTGCGAAAGTAAGGAAGTTCTTTATTACTCTGAGAATTTTAGCTTCTTCATTTACTTTAAACTTTTTTTAATTATAAAATATATCTAGATTTTTAACTACGTCACATAAACATACCTCATGGGGTGCTGCATTCAAAAAAGCTCTTGGGTCTTCTAAATCCAAAACTGATTCACATCAAGAACAACTATTTTCTGCACTTGAATTGATCCGTTTTGGATATTTAAATGGAAATCCGTATAGTCGCTCGTATTACGGGAGCCCAACAGTTGGCACTGGTAATTAATTGTCTGGATCATTTTTATCTTAATCATTTTTTTATTTATCATTTACGATATTTTTTTAGAAGAGGAAAGAAAGCACATTTTGTTGATATCCCGAACCTTGAGTATGGTATCACCTAAATACCAGGTTATTATTGAGATATTTATTTATTCATATTGTTATAAGTTTATTGCTTATCTTTATAATAAATCAATCAATATAACAGGGAAAACCTTGGGTTGGACCTATTAGCAGAGAACTTTTGGCATTCAATAGTTTTGTTAAAGCACTCAATCGATCATTGCGTAATCTGTGTGAAATGCTCACTTTATCAACCTTCTTAAATCGTGATTGTCTGAACGAAAGGAATGATTATTTAGATATAGCCTTAAGGTTGGTTCGATTTTGACTTCCAACACAAAAAAAAATTTTATCTAAATCAAAAATATTTTTAGTTTGCCATTTGTGCATGATGTGAATACTGGCTTAGGAATCATCGCTAAAACGTATCTCGAAAATATAATCACGTCATCCGCCGAGAATGGTAACAAGATTTCAGAATTCCGTATAAATGAAACATTGAAGAAATTGGACGAGTTGTTCACTGCGTGTGTCGATGTGAAATCCAATTTGAATGATGGATTTTCTTTTTGGGATGAAGTATGTTTTATTATAAACCCTAAGATGATTGTATTTATTGATTTATTTATTTATTTAAATTTTCATTATGAATAGGTGATTGTAGCTGTCAAAAGCTTGAAATCAAGCGATGATATATCAAACGATTTAGCATCTCAATTTTTAAATGCAAATCAATGGCTTTCAGCTAGAAGATTTTAAAGTTTCAATGTTGATATTTAAAAATGACCATAATAATAATAATAATTATCATCATCATCATCATCATCATCATCATCCAAAAATAACATAATGAATTGTTTTTATTTTTTGGCACCAGGTTTACTCTGAGCTTTGAGTACTTTTTTAACAATCTTTTGTTCTTCGATCAAAAACGCCCGAACAATGCTGTTTACGTATTAAAGTGTTAAAGATTAAATAATGAAATAAAGAGAATAATATGAAATGTATTCCTCGATACATACCGATCCCTTACACATTTTGCGCAACGGCTACCGCCGTAAGCTCTTTGAACTGTTTTTTGACGTTTAGAAATTTTAGCGTATTGTCGTGGTCTCAATGCAGGAATCTGTCAAACAAGAAATATATTATAATCAGTCATTATTTCGTTTCAACCTAATTATATCATTATAAAATTTTTTACCCCAGGGAGTCTAGTGCCACAATCGCCGCAATGAGGACCTTTAGCTGGTTTCTTTTCATACAGCCAAGTTAATTTACCACCTTTAAAAGATTTCACAAAATTGATTACTCTTAAATTTCTTTTAATCATGCAATCATGCACGTATAGAAAAAAGTTCACCAGGCGTTTTAGTAGCTCTCACCCGATTGCTACGGGTGTTATAACTCAGTCGACGTCTATAAGTTAATCTCTGAACCATTGCAATTTAACTTGAAAATTTTTAATCGAGGAATTTTTTTACCAGCAAATCTATTAATATCCTCAAAAGTTCACATGACATTTCAACATAAAAAAGTTGAGATTATCAAAAAATAAGGTGATGTGAAGTTTTCTTTTGAAATGTACGCTACTCGATTATTTCAACCATTCAGAAGCATTAATTCGAGTTCGTTTCCCTCATTACTTGATATATTTTTCTTTATAATTTATCATATTTACTAATTCACAATCTGCTTTTGAAAATAAAGACGCTTTACGCGTTACATTCTCGAAAAATGCTCCAGCTGTTTCCTTGTTGAGGTATTCTATTATATGTAAAATAAATATCAGTCTCATAACTTTTATGCTCAACCTGAGTTTTATGACGTGTTAGATAGAATATTACTCTTAAATGTATATTTTTTAAATGCTCGGCCCTCACGCTATGGAGGTTCATTTGTAATTTTTTTCTTGGTTTATGAAGGATATGCAGTCAAACTTCGATATAACGAAGTATTAATTTATTAATTAATTTCGATAAATCGATGTTGGTTATAATAAAATAAATTCACCTTGATAAACCGAATTTCTACTAATAGTTATTAGTTATATCGAGGTTTGACCACAAAAAAATTATTATCTTTAATATTCTATTAATTTTATAATTACTGATAAAATTTCATATAGAAAGAACGCAAGATCCACTGCTTCTACTGCAAATACAACACCCGAGCACGAAAAGTTGCTTGTTTCTCAACGGGCCGTGCGTCCGTTATCCCCTTGGTATATATATCAGCCACAACTTACATGGCTTTTGTCGTTAACTCATCGTGCTACTGGCGCTGGACTAGCTTCTGGTAAAACCAAAGAAATCTATTATTATAATTATTATGGATAATGAAATATTCATTCTCCCTTTAATAGTTTTATATGGTGCTAGTCTTGCATACGTAGCAGGACCATTCATTGGTCTTAATTGGGATACTGATACTATTGTTGCGGCGGCGTCGACGGTTCCTGCATTTGTTAAAGTGCCCACTAAATTTGGGATAGCTTATGTTTTTTCATTTCACGTTTTCAATGGAATCAGGCATTTGGTATGTTGAAGATAATTACTGTGCTTTACGCTGCCAATAATTTTAATTTATTACTTTTATCAAAAAGATTTGGGATACTGGCCGAAGCTTAACTATCAAAGGAGTATATGCTACGGGCTGGAGTGTCTTAGGGCTTTCTACTGTTTCCGCGCTTTATTTGTCACTTGTTTAAATTATTATTATTTTGTTATATATATTGTGTTATTACTATTTTTACATAAGTAAATATTATGAAATAGAATGCATCTAAAATAAATAAGCGAATAAATAGTCTAGATATTCTCCTTACTTACCTTCATTTGACAATCAAACTACTAACTACTTATCATTTTAACCGGGCAACTTTTTTATACAAGACCAAAATGCACACTCGTATAAATACTGAAGCATTCCTTTTGGATTTGCTGTATAAGTGGTGGTGATCATTTTTTCCTTCTAGTTTTTTTTTTATTTATTTTCGCGTTATTCAAACGGAGAGAAAAAATATATCAGAATCAATCGATTTTGTAAGCAAATGATTTTGATCATTCTATTTTACCTGAAATTCAAACCCGAGTTTTTTGACTACTTCCTTTACTTGTTCTAAACTCAATTCGATTGAGATTTCGTCAGGCATGTTTTCATAATGATATAATAATGGTCCTGATTAACAAATTATTAAATTAAGAAACTTGAAAGAGTAGCCTCGACTCAAATGAACCTATTTGATCAATACCGATATTTATCCACAAGCCTCCAGGTTTTAAGATACGCTGAAATATTTCAATGTATTCCACAATATTCTTTGCTGTGTCAATAAAAAAACAGGTCACGATGCAATCCCATTTTTCTATTAAAAAAATTTATAAATTAATGTGAGAATAAGAAATAAAATAAACTCTAAAAGGACAACTGATTTCTGTCTACCTGCTTGCTCATCACTTCCATATACTTCGACGAAATCCCCAGCAACCATGGAAAAATCAGCGTCTGAAGGCAAATCACTGGGTAACACATCTGGAATGAATACCGGCTTTAATTGATCTTCGGACGACTTAATGTTAGAGAAGGAGTGGATGTAAGGGTAGATTTCATATTGATGAATATAATCGATTCTGAGTGTTTGTGTGAAAATAATGATATTAAAGTTAAAAATCACGAGCGAAAATGTATAATTAATTAGAAAATCAAAAAATTAACCTATTTAATATGAAATGTGATGCTAATAACTTCAAAATAGCACGATTGGTTAAGTATTTCAATATCTTTGATATCAGCAATTGTTAGAAAAAGTAATTTCTGATTTATTTACCATGTAGAAGGAAAATTCATTTCCTGTTAATTTATTAATAATATAGGATTAAATAAATTAGAAATATTTCAAAAAAAATAATTCATAACTCGAATTCATTATTTGTTTCATACCTTGACAACTATAGCCTATTATCATCATATCATCAATTACATCAGTTACTTATCCTTTTATATTACAGCAGATAGTATAGATAAATTTATAAAATTAAATATCTACCTAATTTTGCAATATCAAAAGCCAATCGAGCTAACCCTGCACCGGGGACTAATATGCGCACCGAAGATCTGAAAAAACTAACGACATGAACAAAAACATAAAAATGGATAAATCAATTTTATTACAAATTACAGACCTTTGTTCTTGAGGAACATCTTTAAAAAATTCATCGATTTCATTTATTAGAGGCAAATACGCAGCATCACGTTCCACTTTTCCCTATAATATTTTTCCAAGATAAATTTTTAATATTATTATTTATTTTTTTCTTCTTTCAAAAATACCTTAACTTACTTCTTCTGCCCAATCTCTCACAAACTGTTTGATCGTACTTCGTAACTTGTCCATATCAAAATCAGTAACTTGCGAAGACGAAGCTGAAGACATTTCATTATCATCATCAGTTGCTGATGCTTCATCAATCTCTACATTCGTCGAATATTCCTATAAAAATAGGAATACAACGTCTTCTAAGCTAATTATTTTGTAATCGAAATAGAATGCTTAATTGACTTACATTCTTCTCAAATAATCGGCCATCTGTTAGAATTTTTTTCACCACTTTATAATTTTTTACAATTGATTGGTCTACTCTATTCAATTTCTCTAAGTAATCAGGTAATAAAGCTTTATGTCGTTCTGGAAGTGAATGATAATCTGTTCGACGACGATTATTTGAAGATAACGCGTAAGATTTATAAAGCGCGAAAGTGTTGAGCACTTTTCTAAAATGCTTTTAGTTGGTCAAAAAGTATAAACGGTCAAACTAAATACCGAAAAAAAAAGAATAATGGAATAAATTCAAATACCACAGCTTCTTCCTCGGCATGATCTTCACCAAAAGCGAGTTCTTGTTCAGAGATATCCATTCACGCGACAAGTTGATTGATTTTCTTCAAGTAGCTACAAAAACTAATTTATATGCGCGTGACTTGCAATACATGTCACATTTTTTACCCATCAAGATTTCCATTTATTACGCGCTAGGAAATTCATGAGAAACGCGTGAACCTAATCTAGTTAGTTGTAGTTTTGTAGATCAATGAGTACCAACTGATCACGAATTGAAATAATCAAAATGCGTCCGGACCAACACAAGAAAGCAAACTCTCGTAAATATCAAGCAAAACTGCATGCTCGTGGTGGAGAAGCAACAGCAGCCGCAGATGAAATACGAGAAAAACGTAAGGAGCGTAGGTCCAAATCAAAGGGAACAATTTATATTGATTCTGGTGGATCTGGTGAAGACGATTCTGAGGAAACTAGCTTTGGTAAGTTAATTTTTGCAATTTTTGTTAGTTTAAGCAAATTCAGCATATATAGATATATATATTTCTCAAAATTTAGCTTCAAAGCAACAGTCATTTCGTCGTCGAAAAATTCAAAGCAATGATTATCGTTATCAGGAGCCTAGTCAAGAAGGTAATCATCGTTATCATGGTATACAATAGAATTTTTATTAGCATTTTTCAAAATATATCGATTAATATTAACAGATGAACTATGGGATGACCCGGATGGAATTGATCGAGAAACCACCAACTTTCTGGAAATGATTGAAAATGCTGGTACTATTGGACTAAGTTTATCACTGGTTTTTTTTTAATTTGTTAAACGAGTGTTTTTATTAAGTTTTCAAAACTTCTAGAAAATCATTCTTTTGATCCATCGTCATATTTCCAATTTAAAGAGGAAAAAGTTTGGGGCACAACTTCAACAACAGAAGAGCGGGATCTCGATAGGGCAAGGATGCGCAACTATTGTTAAGAACTAATTTCTGAAATTTGCTCAATATCTTTGCTCCTTATAAATAGGTTCATGAAAACTTGATGAACATTCGTTTTGACCATTTAAAATCATCGTTAAGCAACGTGTCGATGAATGAGCGATTGAATCTAAGTCCTGATTTAAACCTGGTATTTGTTATTGATACATTTACGTACGAATTGTGTGTGTGTGTGTGTGTGGGGTATTTATATGCCTTATCATATGGGCAGGAAACTCAAGATATGAGCTTTATTTCGAAATCTCCAAAACCACTAGTCCCAAAGATGGTCAAAATGGATATCAAGAGGAATTTGCTGAAAAAAGAGATGGTTGCGGGCTCTCTAGGTGAAATTGATTTAAAGAAATCCATATTTTATACTTAGTTTTCTTTAATCTAATTTAAGGAAATACACGCCTATTAACTATTTGTACAGACGAGCAGCAGCAAATATCCAAGACGTTGAGCTCTGAAAAAGCAAAAGGTAAATAAATCCGCAATCGTTCCAATTTATTTCTTTTCCTCAAATTAATAATAAATTTACTTTTTATTATGTTTAAAAGATATTCCACAAAAGACTAAACATTCCTTAATAGCGCAGTCTAAAAAGAAACCGCAAGACAAAAACTCAAATGATACCACGAAAATATTACCCAATCAAGATGATGATATTGACATTTTTCTAAAATCATTAGATGATGAGGATGGTAAGAGAAATTCTTCGAAATCCTATAACTCTATTATCGACTTACTCTTTTCCGTTATACCAGCGAAAGACAAGCGTGATGATGTAAATCGATCTAGTAAAATCAAAAAAATCATACCATCAAAATCCCAAAGAGCAATAAAAACCAATAAAGGTATACAACCGACACAATCCAATATCGAAACCAAAGAGGAATGGCTAGATGATATCCTTGGTTAGGTGATTTATTAATGTATTTTTTATTTTGTATTATTATTATTATTGTTATTATTATTATTATTATTATTACTCTATGAATTATTATATATATTATTTACAATGTTTTAAATTAGAAAAAATCTAGAAAACGTGATTAAAGAAAATTAATTGGTGGTAATAAATAGCGTCCTTTTTTCGCAAAATTGGAGATTTTTGTTGAGAATTTTTAATTCTAAATTATTCGTTTTGTGCGGCTACACTCATTGATTTTACAATTGCATCACATGCACGCTTATAAGCTTTTACGCTTCCTTTTTGTTTCGAAAAACATATTTTGCCAAGTTGGCCTTTTAAGCTTGGGTCACTTAAAGAAATTTCAAATAATGTGGTTTTCTCGACTCGTTGTTCTTTGTTCACTGTTCGGCGATATACGCATTCAAGAGATGTTGGATTTTTGTAGGTATAAGAGATTCCATGTAATTGACATGCAAAAGCGACAATCGCTAGAATCTCGTTGATTGGCGTAGGTCTACATATGCTATAATAGCAAGTGAACTCGCGAGCACGTAATTTTCGTAAAATTGAAAATCCGAATCGTAACTCGTGGCTCAGATGAAAAAGATTTAATTCCATATCATGGCAAGCGTCGTTTATCTGATTTGGTACATGTGAACTTCTTGCATTTTTTCGCGCATCACAATAGACGACGCGTTTCACCGAATATGGTTTCACTTCCAGGTAATTTGAGATTGAGGAATAATACGATGATGTAGTAGACATAGGTGTTCCAATAGAAATTGGATATAACCAAGCATCGTTGTTGAGAACATCAAGGGAAACACGTTGGTAACCATCTACATTAAGTAATTTTCGAATGGTTGATTGAAGTTCTGCGCTTAATACTTTCGGCATACGGTATCGACCACTACAAATTTGCTTTTTCAATTCTCCAACTGTGGACGCCTTAAAAGGATCACGACCAACCACAATTCTGTATAAGAGTACACCTAAGCACCAGACATCAACCTCGGGTCCTTTGTATTTTAATCCACAAACAATTTCCGGTGAATAATATAACATTGACCCTTTGGAAAATGTTGCATTGTATTTTTTTTTAGTATTAAATTTAAAAATCTCGCAATTGCAAAACATTATACAATAAAATTAATTACCACATAATGTCATTAACCGTGAATCTTCGCTATATTTATTTGCCAATCCAAAATCCGCCAATTTCACAATCCCTGTTTTACTTATTAAAACATTCGGTGGCTTTATGAAAAAAATTTCCAATTAATCTTTTTTATTTTTTAAATATAGTAAACTTTATATTATGGGTGTAGATTTACCTTTAAATCTCTATGTACGATATGATTCGTATGACAAAATTGGACAGCTTCAACCAATTGACTAAAAATATTTCGTGCTTGTTCTTCGCCCATAAATCCTTGATGACAATCGAGATAAGTTTCCAGATTATAGCCATCAACATATTCCATTATTAAAAATACAGTGTGTTTTGTTTCAATCACTTCGTATAAACGTATAATATTCGGATGATTCAATTGTTCCAATAAAAAGGCCTCTCGATAAAGGCGCTTAAAAATTCTTTGATCATATGCTGTCTTATCTATTATTTTCACTGCAACCTTTTTGTAATTTGAAAACATAATTCGATTTAGCATTGATTGAATACGCATAAAATTGACAAAAAAAAAATTTTTTTCTACCTCTTCTCCAGTCACCACATGCGTTGCCAAGTTTACTTGGCTAAACTTGCCGACTCCTAAAGTTTTCACATATCGATATTCTCCAATTCCACTCAAAAGAATATCTGGATTATTATTGACATAATCGTGAAAATTAGCATCACGATATACAGCGGTTTGACGATTTAACCCCCCAGTCGAAACTGGTTTTACAGAGTCTTGAATTTTTCCCCTCATATTATTATAATTATTAGTGGGAGTAATATTATATGTGATTTAAATAGATATGTGCTAAAAAAGAAAGTTATTTGGTACACGACTAATTAATTGTTCAGATAAATGAAAGGTTCTATCTATATATATACATAGAAGGAGGAGGGAAGGGAAAAAGACGGAGGAAGAAGGAAAAAAAGAAAGAAGAGAGTTAAATATAAAATATTAACTCACTTCGATCGCGTGTCCACCAATTTTGCGTTACGTTGCTCATATATAAAAAATTGAGTACAGAGTACAAAAAGAAATAATCAATGGTTTTTTGCTCACCTATACAGCAAATAAGCTTCCTTGAACGTACGTAAAATATGCGCTATGCAAACGTGTAATAACTCTTGTCACTCGAACTCTTGGAATAATTAAACATAACCAACAATTCTTGTTGGCTCTCTGTATTTAGGTTAGACAACAATAAAAAGTATGTTTGTGCGTGCGTGTGTGTACACGAGGACAGATGAAGAGCACGAACGTACAACGACAAAACTCTAGGATTTATTACTGTGTGTTGAGAATTTTTGTTGTTCTTCTAATGTGCTAAAGAAGCTAAAAAGAATATATTCTGAGGAAAAAAAAGCACATATGGACAAATATACTTTTTATAGCATACTGAAAGACCCAACGCCAGCACCACATATCGATATTGCTCTTCTTTCTACTTGGCGTTTACGTGAATACTAATAAAAATAGTAAAGAATATGCGCGTATAATGGTCCGCGTGGTAAAGAAAGTATATTGCTTTTTATGGTAACAACGGGAATCTTGTTAAATTAACCGTTCTTTGATTGGTCCTCACAAGGTACAAAAATCAAAAATAATCGCCCAAGGCCAAGAATGATCGTGTGGCAATATTATCTATACATAGATAAACGGCCGGATATGTTAATAAAATATTAAAATCATGTGATAATTTAGTTAATACAGTCAAAAAGTCTCTACAACGGCGCGGTATACACCGGATTCGGCTTTGATCTTTTATTAATAAGATTTCCGACTATTGTACCAAATCCTTTTTTACTATATATGGGGGTCCACTAAAGCCGGGTAGTCTCACGTGACATAGAATTCGATCCGGATCGTATCATGTGAAAGGTAATTATTGGCTAAACATATTATCAGATAATAATAGGAGTCCATTAAATCCAGGTAGTATCACGTGGTAATCTTACCAATCCAATCGCAAAAAGATCAAAGGGTAATCCCGATTGCAAAACAAGAGAAAAAATCGTTAAAAAGTTTAGAAGTGTCTTTTCTATCTTTATTTGATTGATTGATAACTTTAAACCCTAAATATGAAATTTTTCCAGTGAATACCCTTCCCTTATTTAGCAATGATAATCTCAGTGGTGCACCAGCAATTTCATAATCCCCTGATAATAATAGATTATTAGAGAAAAATATCTTTGAATCAAAAAAAAAGATCAAAATATCGAACCTCTGTTTCATTTGCATGATCAATGTCACTTTTTTTGCAACTGCTTCTTTGAATAATTTACGATGCCTTTCTCGCGCTAATCTCTTTCTCTTAACAGTCGGCTTTTCATAATATCGATTTTCTCGAACTTCTCGACGTATTTGATTCGCATTTAACACTCCCCATAGCCTTCTATAAGCTACACTTGGATTTCCCTTAACTTGAAATGTCCTTCCAGCTGTTGGGTCTTTTCTGTCTTGTCCTGAAGTATTGCCAGGTTGTGGGAAGAACATGGCATTACTTTGATATTCAAGAGGAAATGACATCGAAGACTTTAATGTATTATTTGTATGCTTGGCTCGATTAAAAAATAAATTATTGATAGAAAAGGGAATTTTTCCATCGTTAAGCGTAATTTTATTTTGATAAGATAAAAGGCGTGAAGTATTCACGCCACGTTTTTTAAAGTTTGAAAATAGTGATAATAAGAGCATTAAGAAAGATAACGATAATAAATTTGATCAACATTAATTTTGGCACGAGTTTTGACTCATAATTAACAATGATACTCTTGAACTGTGAAAACCTGCTGAAACCTTTGAAAAACCCTTTGCATATTGTACAAGTCCTAGGGCTAAGATTTCAAACAAAGTGTTACATTCATGGTATCAACATAAATAAACCTGTACGGGTTCGGTTTGCTCCCAGTCCAACAGGCTCTTTACACCTCGGAGGGCTGCGTACCGCCTTATTTAACTATTTATTAGCACGTAAAACAGGTGGTTCGTTTGTGCTGAGAATAGAAGATACAGACAGGGTATGTTCTAATTATATTATTTTCATGGTTTTACTTTTTTACCCTAGTTTCACATACTTTTTTATAGTAGAAAAGGCATGTTCCGGGTGCCGTTGAAAGTATATTAACTACTTTGCGATGGGCAAGTTTAGATTTTGATGAAGGTTAGTATTTATATGATAAGATATCAAATTTTTTTATTTTGGTCTGATGATTTATTAATTAGGTCCAGGAAAAGATTCGCCGCATGGTCCTTTTTATCAGGTTTTTTGTTTTGAATTAACTAAGTCCAAACTGTGCGATCTTTAATTATTAACTCCCATCTTTTTTGCATTAAAATAAGTCTGAAAGAACAGAACTGTATAGAGATTATGCAGCGAGATTAATCAAAGTACTTATAAAGAATGCAGTGAAAATAAATTCAGTGCAAGTTAACTAATTGTAAAAAAGAAAAGTTATTAAAAAATAAAATCCAGATATTTTAAAATTACAGGAGGGATTTGCTTATAGATGTTTTTGTACATCTGAAAGACTGAAAAAAGTTCGAGAAATCGCACAAATATCCGGAACAAACGTTTTGTATGATCGTCATTGCTTATCTCTTGACATGGCGGTAATTGAAGAAAATTTGGCCAATGGAATACCTCATACAATTCGACTTAAGGCAGTATTTACACAGTTTTGCCTAAAAGTTTTTTGTTTAAATTCAGATTTAATTAACTTGATTATAGTAATTAGGTTCCTGAAGGAGTAATCAAAGTGAATGATCTCGTCTATGGCTCAATTGAAGTCAGCGACAAAAATATTGATGATGCTATCATATTAAAAAGCGATGGATATCCGACATATCATTTAGCTAGTGTGGTGGATGACCATTTAATGAAAATCACTCATGTTCTGCGAGGAGAGGTTTATTTATAATCATTTATTTTTCGTTACTTTTTTTTTTGATTTATCAAATTATTTATTATTGTTTATAATATTTAGGAATGGCTTACTTCAACACCTAAACACGTTATTTTATATAAATCATTTGGTTGGGAGCCACCCCAATTTGCACATTTGCCTCTTTTAGTGAACCTTGATAAAACAAAATTATCGAAACGTTCTGGGGATGTTAGCGTGGAAAATTTTATGGTAATTTCTATTAAAAGAAATTATTTTATTGGTACACATAATCAATCATTAGATATTTGTGAAAAATATTTATCTTTTTAGAGAAACGGATATTTACCCGAAGCTATACTCAATTTCGTGGCTTGTTTAGGATGGTGTCCCGATACTGATAAAGAAATATTCACCTTAAAAGAATTGATTTTAGAGGTTGATTGATTAAGAGATCGTGATTTAAAATGCTTTTCTTTTTATTTAATTTTTACAGCGAAAAATTTAAAGTTTTCACCAGATCAGATTGGACACTCTAGCGCTAGTGTATTGATTTCGAAACTTGATTGGTTGAATAAGGCGCATATGAAACGTAAAATCGAATCTACCGAGGGGTTGAAAGAACTTGTCAAAATCTTAAAACCTCTAATCCAAGAAAAATTCTCCGAAGAGTGAGCCTGAAATTTATAATCGTCAATTCATTTAATATAATAAGTTAATCCTAACGTTTTAATGCTAGATTGGTTACTCGAGGAGAAAAATCGAAACTAGACGATGAGTATCTTTCGAAAGTAATCCTAACAATAGGTGTAAGTATACCATATAGCGATGGATTTATTAGGAAATTTTTATTATCAAATCAAAGGAAACATCAAATCTTATTCCAGGATCGGATAAGGAAACTCAGCGATATTTCAGAGTTATGTGGGTATTTTTTTATAAGCCCAGATTATGATTCCTCGGATTCTCTTGCTTTTCGCGTAAAAATCGGGGAGGATAATTTAAGTAAGTCAATTAATTTTTAACGCAAAAAAATAGGCACTTTAATGATTGAATTTCTTTCACGTCAAGAAATCATTTCGAAAGCGGTTGCATATTATTTGAAAGACCTTAATACGCATGAACGTAATAATCTCGAATCGCTGAAATTATGCATCGATAATGTTGCTAAGGAAACAGGCAAGACTCGTGATAAGGTCTTAATGAGCTTACGTTACATAATTACTGGCACTAAGGTAAGGATATATAACACGGGCCCCAGTTTTTATGTTATCACTTGCATTTAGAAATTTTTTTGGTATAGGTTGGAGCAGGCGTTGTTGAAACAATGTGCACACTAGGCGATAAGATATATATGGAACGTATTAATTTCTTTTTGAACAAGTTTTCGGAATAATGGAAACTCAAAGTTCCATCTCCGGTACTTTTGTTCTATAATACAGTTGCACCATTTCCACCACCCACCCTTGAAAACAATTAAAAAATGATGTAATCAACGAATTTTATCTCCCTTTAATTCAGGGGATGCTACACAATTGTATTTGAAATTTTGAAAAAAGAACGTGTATAAAAAACATGGTCGCCATTCAAATTCTGCCACTTTTACTCTCGTTCTCTTAATAATACACATTAAAATGTCAAACCAACAGCCTGATTTTTTTATTCCTTCACCTAGGGGAGAAATTTTACGACGCCCTTTCAATAGATCGCGTGGTGACGCTGGAATTGTAGACGCGGTTGCTCACGCGGCATATAATGAGAAGAAATGGGTTTGGGTAAAGGATAAATCTGAAGGATATATCTCCGGGTACATCACGAATGACTTGAATGATTCGCAAATTGAAGTTCGATTAAATGACGATACGGTATTAAAATTATGTAGTATATTATTCAGTTGTAAAAAAGTTAAATCTTTTTGATATTAATTTATAACGATGTAATAAAGACACGAATTATTGACGTTAATGAGACGGAAAAAATGAATCCACCAAAATTTGATAAAGTAGAAGATATGGCTGATTTGACACACTTAAATGAGGCTTCGGTCATCCATAATTTAAGACAACGTTACCATTCGAATCTAATATATGTAAGTAAATAATAAATAATAATATTCATTTATCATACACAACTCATACATTTATTAATGAATTGTTTAATCTGTCAATTTGTCTATAGACATATTCTGGACTTTTCCTTGTGGCAATCAATCCGTATCAAAAATTACCTATTTACTCTGAACAAGTTATTAACTCATATAAACATAAAAGACGAGCAGAGATGCCTCCTCATATTTATGCTATATCAGATGCTGCGTATAATGATATGTTGCGTCATCGAGAGAACCAGTCATTATTAATAACGTAAGTGATTGTTTTAGGTATTTAATATGATTATTTTCAAACAATTGATCATTAATTAATATATCGCATTTATAACTGTATTTAGGGGTGAATCAGGCGCTGGTAAAACTGAAAACACCAAAAAAGTGATACAGTATCTCACCTCAATAGCTAGTGACGTCTCAAATAAAGAGCAATTTGGACGACTTGAACAACAAATTCTTCAGGCTAATCCGATATTGGAAGCATTTGGAAATGCACAAACTATACGAAATAATAATTCATCTCGTTTTGGCAAATTCATTAGAATTGAATTTAATTCAGCTGGTTATATCGCTGGCGCAAATATCGAGCGATATTTATTGGAGAAATCTCGTATCACTAATCAAACCGAAAATGAACGGAATTATCATATATTTTATCAATTAATGAAAGGTGCACCTAATGAAATTAAAGGTATTTTTTTTCCTTAATAATCTAAATGTTTTTTATAAGAAAAAATATTTAAGCTTGAATTAAATTTTTATGTTAGAAAAATTTTATTTGGATGGTACCTTAAATGATTATAATTACACGAAAAATTCAAAAAAAGATATCGATGGAGTTGACGATGCGCAAGAATTCAATGAACTTGTTAAAGCGATGAATATAGTTGGGCTAGAAAAGGAAGAACAAAACGATCTATTTCGGATTGTAGCTGCAGTCATGCATCTTGGTAATATTGTAGTAACAGCGGATCGTGATGAACAGGCACAAATTCAAACAACTGTTTTGGTAGAAAAAGTTTGTGATATACTTGGGATTAAAGTCACGGATTTCCTTAAGGGATTATTGACACCAAAAGTCAAAGCAGGTAGAGAATGGGTTCTACAAGCAAGAAATAAGCAGCAAGTGCTATATTCAATTGATGCGTTAGCAAAAGCATTATATGAAAGGAGTTTTCGTGCACTGGTTGACCGAATTAATAGTGCTATTGATCATCCATCTAATAAATCGACTTTTATTGGTGTATTGGATATAGCCGGATTCGAGATTTTTAAGGTAAGAACCATCTATTTAGGTTAAATTATCTTCTATCTATATTTACTCAATCGATGATTAAATCTTCGATCTAGACCAATAGCTTTGAACAGTTACTGATCAATTATACGAATGAGAAACTTCAACAATTTTTCAATCATCACATGTTTATTCTTGAACAAGAAGAGTATAAAATGGAAAATATTGATTGGAAGTTTATTGATTTTGGTCTTGATTTACAATTAACCATCGATTTAATTGAGAAATCAAACGTAAGTTCAATTTTTTTATTGCTTGTTCTTTTATGCTCATTATAAATACATATATCCTATTATCATGTATAGCCTGTTGGCATTCTATCTTGTATCGACGAGGAATGTGTCATGCCAAAAGCCTCCGATAAAACATTCATTCAGAAACTTGATCAAATCTGGCGAGACAAATCGCCCAAATACGAAACAAGTCGATTTCAACAAGGTTTCATTCTTCATCATTACGCGGGAAAGGTCGAATATCGAACTTTGGGATGGCTGGATAAAAATAAAGATCCCATTAACGAGAATGTTGTGAGTTTACTTGCTCATTCCTCGGAGCCTTATGTATCTTCACTATTCATTGATTATTTCACTACTGGAAATAATAATAACATTATTATTTCACTATCACCAAAAAATCAAAAACAATATAGTAACAGTAATGGAAGTATTAATAGTAGCAATGGTTATAATAATTACGATAACAATTATATCAATAACAACAATTATCATAATCATAATCACCCAATTAAACGACGAAACACAAAAAGCGGAATCTTCAGAACAGTATCACAACGACACAAGGAGCAATTATATTATCTTATGCAGCAACTGCAAGTTACTCGACCACACTTTGTTCGTTGTATTCTGCCAAATGAAGAGAAAAAATCTTTTAAAATTAATACACCTCTTGTTCTTGCACAGCTGCGTTGTAACGGTGTGTTGGAGGGGATACGAATTTGTCGTGCTGGATTCCCTAATCGATTACAATTCAGGGAATTTCGTCAACGTTATGAAATTTTATTGTCGCGTTTAAATGAAGACAATAACTCTATGACAATGGATGATCACGAATTAACAAAGAAAATATTAAGCAAATATAATTTCGATGAGACGCAATTTCGAATTGGGAATAGTAAAGTTTTCTTTCGCGCTGGTGTAGTAAGTTATTTATTTAAAAATTAATTGAATAGATTGTTTATTCTCTGCGTAATCATTGATTAATTCAATTGATTTAAATTGATAGTTGGCAGAACTTGAAGAAATAAGAGATGCAAAGTTATCGCAGATATTCACAGGACTACAAGCGCATTGTCGTGGATTATTAGCGCGTCGTAAACATAAACAACTAGTCAATCAACTTGATTCGATAGTTTTAATACAAAAAAATATAAGGATTTGGCTTGAGATAAGAAAATGGTCTTGGTGGAAATTATATTCAAAGACCAAACCATTATTGAATGTCACGCGAATGGATAAAGAATTAAAGAAAAAAGATGATTATATTTGTGAATTGGAACAAAAATTAATTTCTCAATCCGCTAAACTTGAATCACTAATAAAACAACAAGATCAACAGTCAAAGTTCACTGACGCAGCAATCATAAACGCAGCTAAAGAAAAAGAACATTATGATAAAATCGAACTCGCTAATGAAAATCTAAGAAAAGAAGTCGAGGAGTTGAAGGCGAAATTAGAATTAGAGATCAACTCTAAACAAGAGGAAATGGCAAATCGCACTAGAATTGAAGCTGAATTTAAAGAATTACAAATTAAATATGAAGCTGAGATTATTAAATCCTCCAAGTATGCTCAATCATTGAACTCGTATAAGTCGAAAACTGATGGAACGATTGCGAAACTTGAAAATTTTGAACTTGAGCGATTAAAAGCAGAAAAAACTGAAGAATATCTAAAAGTTCATATCAAGGAACTCGAAGAAGCATTATCAGACGCAATCAATGATCGTAAAAGTGCTGAGGAAAAGATTAAATCTTTGGAGGCGGAAATAGTTGAAATGGAATCTAAAATGGATGATGAAGCGATGGAAATGGCTGATTTGTCACTTATTAAACGACGCTTACAAGAAGATATTGATGAGGAACGTGATCGATATAAAAAAGACTTGGAGGAACGTGAATTGGCCTTGGAACAAACTAGAAAAAAATATCACAAAGAGCTAACAAGATTAACTAATGAAATTGAGTTGGAAAGAGCGAACTCGATAAAATTGCATAAAGAAAATAAAGATCTATTATCGGAAAACGAAGAAATTCGGACTCAAATCGAAGAAATTACCTCGTCAAGCTTAGTAAATTGGAAACGTGAACGAGAAAAATATGAAACAAAAATTATTGAACTTTCACAACTCTATAATGAAACAAAAAATGGACAGGACGAATTGCAAATACAAATTAATAGCTTAAAATTAGCACTCGATGAATCTGAATCTCAAAAATTCCTGCTGGAGAAACAGAAAAGAAATTTAGAGGAACGACTTGAAGATATTGGCGAACAATATCAGTGTGAAAATCAAAATAAACAAGCAGCTGAGAACAGTATAAATGTATTAGATACAGAATTAAACGAATTACGTCAGTTATTGGAAGAATATCAAGACAAAGAAATTGTATTGAATGAAAAATTACGAAAATCAGAGTTAAATGTTGCTGAAGTTCAGGCGGAACTTGCCAAAGAAAGAGAAGATAATCAAGATTTAATAAAATCAAAGGTAATTGTACTTATTTAAATTTGATATTATTTATTGATTTATGACTTCCAATTATACATCTTATATTTATAAAATAGATTACGTTAGAAAAACAAATAAAAGAATTAAATCTTAAAATTTTGGAATTGGAAAATAAATCAATAACTTCTCCCCGCGGAATAAAACGATTGGAACAACGTCTTGAGGAAATGAATACACAACTGGAGACTGAAACACGAGAAAAGAACGAAGCACATCGTCAGCTGCGTAAAAATGATCGTACTATTCGAGAACTTCAATATCAATTATCAGAACGTGATAAATTGAAAACTCGATTAGAAGAGGAAATTTCTAAATATGATCAAAAAGTTTCGAGAATGCGGCAAGCCATTGAAGAACTTGTAAGTCTTGGAAAAGGGAGAACAAAGCATATGCTGCAAACCAATTTATTTATCATAAATGTATATTTTTTTATTTAGCAAAATTCCGAGAGTTCATTACAATTGAGTAAGCGACGAATCGAACGAGAAGCAAATGAAGCTCGAGAAAGATCATTAAGGTATGCATTTATCTAATCTATTAAAGCTTTATATTATAATAATAACTAATAACTATTATTACTTTTAGATTGGAACGCGAAATGGAAAAAATGAAGTCACGTTTAGATCGAACTACTTTATATACCGATTAATTGATTGATTAATATATTTTTAATTTTGTATTTCTATGTATTTATATTATTTTTTTGTATATATTATTCTATTTTATTATTTTATTATTGTTGTATCATGTACAGTCAGACCTTTTTATAGTTCTTTCATATAGTTACATTTTTCATTTCCCAAATATAAAAATCAATCTCCACATAATCAAAGGGTTTCCGATTCTCTTAGGGGGACAGAAATCTTGGGGTGGGGTTATGATAACGATAGGTCCATAATCGCGAAATAACGTGCAAGGGTGTAATTTCAAATTTCGGCTTGAATTTTCTTCATTCTGCAAATTCAGCATCTCCGTCATTCATTTTGATGTTATAATTCGTATTGAATATGAGAGCTGAAACTCTTCGACAGCTTTGTCTGGCTATTATCATGAGCTTGAAGTCAAATTAATATAGCAAATATAAGCTTGCATGCCAATTGTCATATTTGGAAATCATGACAAGTGCAAATTTAGGCATTTTTTTCACCTTTCTGTAGAATTCTTTCTTTTAATACACGGCCTGACTAAAATATCCGGCAACTGGAAAAATCAGCGGATTTTAAACACCGATTGTAGCACATCCAATTTTATTATACATTTTTATAAAGATTCTAATTTAGTTTCTTATAAAATTTCTATTAGATACTTATATAATTTATATTATAATAGCTGGTTCAATTATTTTTGAAATTTAATTAAAAACAGAGTGCTTATATTTATCTGTATAATTATATATTCAAATTCTTTGATCTTTTTTTATTAAATATTTTGATTTCTACTTCCAGATATTTTTTTTGTTCTTTTTAAAAGAATTATTATTATTTTTTGCTAGATACTTTAAAACAGAAAATTAGAATATAATATCTTTAACTAATTATATCAGAATTTAAAAAAGTTAAAGTCAATATGATAATTATATCATTCTTAAATCATATGTTAAATTAATATGATTATGAACAAGATAATATACAGTACTTATCAGAAGTAACCTACCTCCCATAACTTGGCTAAAAGGTAAGATAAAACCTTTTTTTTTTATTAGAACATTTACAATATATCCTGATTATTAATACATTATATAATCTTCCTTAGCTTCAATTAACTCCTCAACCCGACTTCTCATATTATAAACAAGATTTGCAGCAAGATCATCAGATAAGTAATTCCATTCTTTTACTAATTGTACTTTTAATCCAGTAAGTGTTCTAATTTTTTTTTGCAATATTAATTTTCATCAATCTCCAAATATTCTCAATTAGATTTTGGTCAGGTAATATTGATGATCATAGAAGAACTTTGATATTATTTTCCTTCTTCTAATGACTCACTAATTTTGAATGATATTTCAGATTATTATTCTCTTGCAAGATCCACCTTTCAGAATCATCTTCAAAAAGATACTTAACAGATGGTAGAAGATCACGCTTATATACTATAATCATAAAATTAATATTGAGATTCTGCTGAAAGTAGACTAACTCACCAAAGCCCGAAGCAAAAAAATAACCTTATACATTGATTTTTAATGAATACTTCACAGACCGAAATATTTTTCTTCATTCAAAAAACTGCCAGATCTTAAATGATGACTGGTTTAGACAAAATATGCTTTCATCTAAAAATATGACTTTATTCTAGTCAAAATTTCTATAATTTTTCACCTATTTCAATCATTTTTCTTTATGGATATCAGTAAGTAGAGATTTGAAAAGTTTCACCATGTATTTGCCTTCACCTTCATATAAATGTTATTGAATTATATTCAAACTAACATTAACATTTTGTTTTTTCATTTCTCATTATATATCAGTAGTAATTGCATTAGTTTACTTCTGTGCAAGCTCTATAATCTTTTCATCTTGCTTTGAAATTGTTAATTAATTTCTACTAAATTTTGATTAATCATTTAGATTCTTTATTTCTTGCTATCTTTGTATTCAATAAATTATTATGGACTTACTATAGTGAACGTATTTAGCTGTAGTTTCAAGCCCAAGCTTTGGATCTTTGGGGTGTATGTATAAAAAAATAATTTCATAATATTTATGAATTAGGAGCGATATTATTTGTGTGTAGAAGTTTGATGAATATCGAATGTCTAATTTGGTCTATAAAAGATGTAAATGATCAGTATTTGTATAGTTCTTTGTGTTCAGAAAATTTTGATACATTATATATGATCTACAGAAAATTATAGAGATAGGTTACTTCTAATGAGCACTGTATGAAAATAAAAACTATCATTATCTTCAAATATGAATATCATTCAAAAATTCATTCTGTTTTAAATGATAAAGATGTAAGATATCAAGTTAATCAATATTTTTTTATATATTATTATTATTTTAAGATTATACATATGTAATTATTTTAAAATAGTAATAGTAACTATGTTCATGGCAGTTATTAACTTTTATAACTTCAAGAGATTATATGACTGATTATCTTTTCAATAAGATGATATATGTGAGATTTACTTCTAATGAAAATATAATTATCTTCTTAATAAGATAATTTATACATGTTTTACTTATAACAAAAAATATGATTATCTTCTCAATAAGATAATATATGTGAATTTACTTCTAATCAAAATGCTCTCTCAATAGAGCAAGAAGAAAATAAGATAAAATATGTGTGTTTATTAAAGAAAAATACTAATTAACTACTCTTAACTCAGTAGTAATTACTT